AGGAGATGAGGTTTGGGGGGAGGTTATTAGGTCCTGATGGTGAAGCCCTCATAAATGAGATTAGTGCCCTTATAAAAATGGCTCAAAGGAGCATGTCACCCTTCCACTATTGTGACAGCACTACGAGACAGCTTCATCTATGAACCGAGGAAAGGACTCTCACCAAACACCAAACTCTAAGAAACTCTCAGAAATCAACTTCTGTTGTTCACAAGCTACCCAATCCATAGTACTGTGTTACAGCAGCCCAAATGGACTAAAATGTTGAAGATACAAAGGCAATTTAATGGGGAGAAGATAGCATTTTCAACAAATGGTATGGAAACAAATGGATGTTCAAAAGCAAAACATTTAAAAAATTAACCCGAACAAGTATCTCTCAACTCATATTATTATTTCAAACTGGATAATATACCTAAAATACAAAACATAAAATGATAAAATCCTAGATAAAAGCATACGTGACCTTAAAATATAATGATTAGTTTAAAAATATAACACCGGAGGCATGACCCATGCATGACGAAACTGACACACTGAACTTTATCAAAATTAAAGATTTCTGCCCTGAAAAATACACTATTAAAAGAATGAAAAGATGAGCCAAAAGTGGCAAGGATGGAAACCTGCTGTGGATATTTCAGAAAAAGGTAGATCTTCTGCACTCACTGTCACCTCAGTGCCTCTCCTCATCAGAACTCTGCTTCCCCTCCATACTCACTTTGGGAATTAAGTGAGTGGGAAGGTGCAGTTCTTACTTGGTTGGGTGAACTCCCACTCTCCAGGCCTGACAGACAATCCATGCTCACTCTTCTGAGGCTTTTGAGCTGAATCTTTCTCCTCCTGCCACTCCTCTGGCCCCAGACAGATGTACAGATATATCTGCTCTCTAGTAGCCACTTACAGATGACCCAACTGTTCATGCCAACCTTCTTTCTGACAAAATTCCATCATATCTCCAGTTGGTCTTTTTGAACAGTACCCAAGAGGACCTCAATCACCTCTCAATCTTGCTCTTGTTCTCTATTGTATAGTTACAATTGACAGAAGGCAAACACCTCTCTGCTAAAAGATATCTTGGCAAGGCTGTACATCTCAGTGCCTCAACAGTCTCCAGTGTCAAAGACCTCTGTCAGCTCTCCTCTAGATCTCTGGTTTCCTAGGTTGGTGTGAGACACCAGTCTACCACCCTGAACAAGCTTTAGGCACCAGTCCTTTGCATTCCTAAAAAAAAGTTCGCTTGAAGTTAGGCATGAAGATTAGGCATATAGTTAGCAAGTAATAATACCCCTTGGCCCCACTCCAAACATAGTCGTAGCTTCCTCAATTAAAAAAAAAAGCACTTTGCTAACCTCTTTAAATCCTCCCTCCTAATCCCTGTTCATATGTTTGGTCTGGCTGAGTAATCCATAGGCCAAGGAATAGTTCCTACCTCATTTCCTCTGTAAATTCTTTATGATACTAGTATCCTACTATATCACCTATTACTGGAATTTCACTAAAAAATGAGGCAGGGGGACAGTAGTGCACACTGTTCAGAAGCCACCATGAAAAAAACAGAAGTGCCCAATGTTGGAGAGGATGACAGGGCAACTAAAACTTTTACAATCTCCTATAGGAATATAAACTAGTATAATCTTTGAAAAATTTCCTAGCAAGATCCCCTAAAGCTGAAAATACTTATATCCTATAAACCAGAAATTCTACAACTAGATTTACACCTAAAAGAAATGTACACATATCCTCACCAAAAGAGGTTTGTAACAGCACTACTTGTACTTGACAAAACTGGGAGTGGGGTAGGGAGAACAGATTCACGGTAAAATGGCTAAATAAATCATGGTATATTCATGCAATGGTATACTGTCTGATCTAACCCAATAACATGGATGAATCTCATGACATAATACTGAATTTTAAAAGCTAGACACAAAAAATTCTGAATAATTTTACTTATATAACAACTTAGAATAAACACAACCTGAATTATTTCAGGCTTTCTTTACAATATGAGACTCTTAGAATCTGTTTTCTTCAACTACTGGTCCTCGTGACAATTCAGACTAGTGAAAAATGTCACTCTCAATACACTGCTATAAGAAAAAGACATAAAAATCAAATGTTGACTGGAGACAGTCTTGTCTTTGATATATTTTAGAGAGTTAAATTTATTTTCTTAAATTTATATTATTTTTCTTTTATTGCCGAAGGACTGGCTGTTTTGAGGAAAAGTTACATTTCATCTCATGAATTCTAATTTCAAACTATACAATTGTCACTATGAGCCACAAGAGGGCAGCAGTTTCAAGGATTGGAGTTAGAAAACCCATACTCATTAAAGGGCCAATATAAACTATTGAGCATGTGAACCAGATTTTAACTACATCAGACAGAATTTTGAAATAATTACTCTAAGTGGGTTTATTTATAATTTTAGAGTTGAAAAAAACTGAAAGATATCCTTACACAAGAAATTTTATTCATTTCCTTTTCTATTCCATAGAAATAATGTAGACTCATAAAACATGTGCTCTACTTTAATATAGAAATTTTGTATAAAATTATTTAACATATGTTATGGCTTATACCTAGATATCCCCCCAAAGCCTCATGTGCTCACAGGTGGGACTTTTGGGAGGTAACTGGATCATGGGTGTGTGATACTGGTTAGTCCACGGATCGGTTTAGCATAGTTCTGGATGTAGTTACTAAGGAAGGAAGACTCACCCCGGGTGAGAGTGGCACCAACCAATAGGCTTGTGGCCTGGATAGGATAAGAAGGGAAAGAAGAATGAAGGCTCACTGCCTGTCACACCCTGAACTGCTTCTCCTCTGCCAGGCCCCCCTGGCCATATCGCCCTGCCTTGGAAGCAGCCAACTATGGACTGAAAACTCTCCTACTTTGACTTGTGGGTGTCAGATATTTTGCCCCAGCAAGAAGAAGATAACTAAGACACCACATAAAAGTAACTCATACACGTATAGATACTGGCACTTTTTAAGTACTTTCATAAAGGTAATATTTTGAGGTTTTTTCACTTTACTAAGCTCCATGAAGCAGTGTGCTAGAAATTATTGTGTCTGTTTTATACATTTTAAAAAACATAGCTTAGAATAAGTCGGTAACCTGTGCTAGTTAACACCACTAATATGTAGCATGTTTTCTATTATTTTGCACAATTGCTTGTTAACAAAAGAAAAATAACATTTACATCCTTTAGTTAATTCAGATATGAATTTGGAATATTATTTTCAATGAGCTCTGCTCTTCTACAATGTCAGTTTCATACTTGTCCGTAAGACTTTTCACAGACACTGATTAACGGCACTCTCTATTGAATCACTGATACTTGACCATTGTTATCATCTGACAAAAAAAAAGAAACAGAAGTTAAGTTTAAAGTAAAACTAATAATATTCCCAGAGATTAGTGATTAAACGAGTCAGGAAAATAGATGTACAAGTAAAAGAAGACAGCTTCAAGCTTCCTCATCACTGCTACACGACACTATAAACATTTCTCAAGCCACTTGATGCTGTATATTACCAAACATATTAATATGTAAATATTGATTATTAGACTTAGTGTTTTATTATATTGTCTCCAGTAAATAGGTTGTCATCTTATAGCTATTTAAATAGACCCAAAATCTGACACCCAAAAACGTATACAACTAGAGAGGAAATCATGACCTGAATGTACAACAGAACACATAACGTTCACACACAAAAAAAGTATGTGAAGAGACAAAGCTATATAAGAAAATGCACTTAATGTTTTGATTAACCATAGAGAAATCAAATATTTATTTCATTGGCTAAAAAGATCCTGCTCAACTAGAAAAATATGAGCCTATTTGTAATTTGTTTAAATTCCGTGTTTTCAGAAGAACCCAGTTTCTCCGCTCGCAGACACCTAACACTGTAATTCCTCTTGTCCAGTCATTTTCACTTCAGCCGTTGCTTCTGGTGACATGGGAGAAACAACTGCATCACTGACTCCTCTGTCCCTCCTGTCTTCCTCAAGTCACTCATTTTACCAATATTTGTCAGGTATACGAGCTAAGCAATGAAAAAGAGACATTATCAAAAATAAAAGAATTATTCTCCTATGGAGTTTCCAGTGATGGAAATAAATGTTAAACAAAAGATGCATTATTATAAACAGTGATGATATAAATGAAAACATTAGGGTGTGAGGAGCGCGATGAGGTGACAATAGAGAACTCGAGTTTGGCTGCCAGCGCATCTCGAGTTAGGCTGTCCCCCGGGGCAGGGGACATTTATCCTGAGACTGGAGGACAAGCAGGGAGACGGGGCTCTGAGAAAGGAAATGGTGGATCCGTGCCCTGAGTTAAGGATTCTTGACTTGTTCAAGCAACAGAAGCCTTTACTTTATCACTAACCAACACAATGATATTTAGAAGAAATAAGGTATGAATTATTATTATTATTGTTGTTGTTGCTGGGAGATTAAAAAGGTATTGCCAACCCCTTCCTTTGAAGAGCATAACCAGACAGGATGCACAATTGAGGTATTAAACAGTTTGTTTCTGAAAGGACAAGTTGCCAAAAACATCAGAAAAGCAGATGAGACAGTATTTTCTCTCTTTATCTCACATGGGTGAGAATCAAATGAAATAAGATATTAAAATTGCATAATCTACATAATAGTATGCACATTTCCCAATGGTTAATATAACAGCATTTTTGTTTTGGGGGGGGGTTGGTACCGGGGATCGAATGCGGGACCTTGTGCTTGCGAGGCAGGCACCAGAACCACTGAGCTAAATCCCCAGCCCTATAATAGCATTTTTAATTCATCGCAGCCTTCATTCTCATCCTAAATGTAAGACAATATTCAGCTTTCTAAATTCTCTATCCCTGATTCCCAAATTATCTTCCTAAAAAAGTCTTCCTTTTGTCTTCAGTAAACTGTTTTCCTATTCATGAAAAATTTTTTTAATTAATATTTTATGCAAAGCCTATGTCAAACTTACGTTCCAGTGCATTATAAAGAAGTTCAAAATCCTCCTTTGTTTTAGGATTATGTCTGCGGTAATAATCCAGTTGCATCCATTCTTCTTTTTCTGTTACTTTCCTTATTTCTTCCTCTGCTTCCCATTCCAACCTCAACTTTTTCTGTCTTCTTAAATCCTCTGTGAAGATTTTAGCATGCCATCGCCTGTAGTAAGTTTGTATTACTATAATCTGTTTAAATTAAAAGGAAATTAAAAATGTCTATCATCAACTTGGTGATCAGATGATAAAGGCAGCAATGATTATTTTGCTTCCAACTCAACAAGAAAACAATAATGAGAGTCTGGTTCTAGCTCTGTGTCAGGCTTCCTATAGACACGAACATGAAAACCAGAGGTAATGCACACCACTGCTCTTTGTCTTTGAAATCTAGCACATTCACCTTCATAGGAGGCTGTAAAAACAATACTTATGTGTACAGACTCTGGTGTACAATTTAGCTTACATCTTCCCTCTCTCGTAGGTGTATGATTTGTGGTAAGGTGCCATCTCTCTGCTTCAGTGTCCTCATCGGTAAAATAGTGATAATAATAATGTGCATAAAATAAAGTGTTTAGCCCAAGCTACAAGTCTCATGAATCATAATTATCTGTAGTGTATCTTCATTCCCATCAGCTTAGGCACATATTTAAAACAAAACTGTATGTCTTAAACACACAGCAGGTAGGTGTGTGACAGGTTACATAAAAGAGGGGTAAGTATTAAATTGTAGGATGTATAATATATTGGGTAGTATGGTATAATATAAACCCTCAAAAAGCTCATGAAATACCTGACAGTTTGTTATTTTATTAATTACACTAACAAATAAAATATGGAGAGGCTGCATCAAGATTGAGGATAGGATAGAAGCTGACACATTGCTTTTCCTCACTCTAATACTCAATAATTACAGAAAAATATGTAAAGCAGAAAATTGGGAAAGACACTGGTTCATGCTTTTGGGTCACCAAATGAATAAACTGTGAAGAATCTCTTCTAGAAAAGAGTCACATAAAATAAACTGAAGAAGAAACTTCTAACCTACTTGTCACTGAGAAGGCAAGCCAAAAATAGAAGTGCCTTTAGGACTGGTTTAAGCCACAAATTGGTGGATGCTCTGGGCAGAAGTGCCACTATCAAAGTAACTGCTTAGAAAATGCAAAAGGGAGCCGAGCCTGGTAGTGCATGCCTATAATTCTAACACTCTGGGAGGCTGAGGCAGATTACAAATTTGAGCCCCGCCTGAGCAACTTAGCCATTTAGTCAGACTGTCTCAAAACAAATAAAAAAGGGCTGGGTATGCAGCTCAGTGTGAAGGCAGCTCAGTACCTCAATCAATCAATCAATCAAGCATTCATCAATCAATCAATAAGCAAAATGGATTGGATCCTTAAAACAACTTAGGGAAACAGCAAAAGAATATTTGTGCCTAGAGAAGAATTCTCTGTGTCCTAAAAGGTCAGGCAAGCTGAGGATGAATACAAACCCCTTCTCCAGGAAGTAGATCCCTCCCAAAATCAAGCTTTACATCCTACTACTACTGGATCAGCACATTGAACATAAAGAATCTCAAATTTTCTGAGTATGCACTTACGAATAAACAAACATTTGAGAAGAGCCAACAAAACAAAATGTCCTTTACCCAACAAAATGAAGAATTTATACTTTTTTGAAAGAGAATTACAGTACTAGCATAGTAGTTCTCAAAGAGTAATGGCCTGTGCAGCAATATAAGCATTATCTGGAAAATTACTAGCAATGCAAACTCTTGGGTCCCACCCGAGAGCCAATGAATTAAAAGCTGGTGTGGAACCAAAACTCCTGTACATTAACAAGCCCTCCACAGGATGGCAAGCCTACAGCTTTAAAACCATTTTATTAAACTAAAACAAAACAGAAAAAAATGAGACCAGACTAAATGTAATCAACATTTTTAGAGGAAAGGCTATCAGATAAAGGAATAATTTTGTAAAAAACAACAACAAAAGATTGTATCATAATTTTTATTTTTTTAAATTAAAAAATAATATATGTTACCTTGGGTGCTATTAAATTTGTTAAACTTAAACAACAACGTTCATTTAAATAACACAGAAATTTTCCCCTTCTCACACAACAACTGAGAGAGTCATAAGCAGTTTTGAGCTGGGAGAAAAGTTCTGAGATAGGTAACAAATTTCATCCTACTCATATGTCCCACTGGTCCACTTATCATCATCCAGCCAGTGGAAGGGGTAAGGGGCAAAGGCCACTTTACTAACAATAGATCCCAAGTGTTTCCCATCCTTGCCCCTCCTTACTCACTGTCAAGATCTTTGTTATATGATCTCACTGATTGACAAGGGAGGTTAGGAAATGTAGTCTTATATGAGTGGCCCAGATAGTATTACCATAATTGGAGAAGGGAAGAATGAACTTCAGGGAACTAGTAGTTTGTTACAATCTTACTTGGAGAATGTACAATACCTACTAAAGAATTCATAAGCAAAACTGTAGGTGAGAAAATCTTTTACAATGCAATTAGAAAGGTGGAAAAAATTAGAACAAATGAAGGAAAAATAAGAAATGTGAACAATAAATTCAGACATTCTAAAATATGACTGAATCTGGATACTCCAAAGAGAATGAAGAAAGTTGACTACTAAAATTACTCAAAACAATACAAAATCATTCCCCAAAGGGAGATATGAGTTCTCAGATAGAAAGGGTCCACTACCAAGTTTCAAGCTCATCACAGTAATATTACAAAATACCAAGGATAAAGTGAAAATACCTACATCTTGTAGAAAAAAGAAATAAAAACAGAATCAGGTTTATAGCAAACTTTTAATAAAATGAAGCTTCAAAGTTATAAAGGAAAATAATACTGGAAATAAGTCTGAATCTAACCTACTGAATCTATGCATACTCAAACTAAAAATCTTCAGATCAGAATTATTGAATAAGGTTTTAGATTGCTTACTTTTCATACATGATCTTTGAAAGAATTACTAGAAAATACAATTCAACAAAATAAATTCTAGGGGGGGAACTAGAGCAGTGAATAAAAACTGTAAACTCATTAAGCTAAATATATTTTATTTGAAATCATATATATCAATGTAAATATATAAAACCAAAGGTCTAACATTGTAACTATACAGTAAATTATACATAATTATAAGATCAAATCCCTCATGGATAAGAGGAATAAGGGAAGAAAGAAAGAATCTGAGCATGGAAAGGTCTAGCAAGATTCTTTACTTGTTCATGGAGAAGATATATAGTCTGATTACATATATATTTGGCATAAAAATAATTAGAATTGTTTTTAAAGTGCTATTAGTAATTACTAAAAAATACAGATTAAATCCCTACCTCTGAATGATAAAAGAACAACAACAACAAAAAGAAGTTTAATGAAATTGGCAAAAAGAAGGAAAGGTCAATAAAGAATAAATAAGAATGATTAATAAATTAACTAGATGAAACAGTAAGAATAAGTTAAAATATTAGTAGGCATACATAATATAATCTCATCTAAAATAAGAAGTGTTTAAGAATAAACACTAAATATTGAACTGTAGAAACTAAATAAAGAATAAAATAAGCAGGGCCCAAGTAGAAAGGAATCGTGAAGATATAGAAACTTTTTTAATGGAACTTCACTCCTTACCCAGGCTCCAACTCACTTTCCAAGATTCCATGGGGGAAATCTATTTGAATCTTGATCCCGTCCCCTTTGGCAGGCATTTAAATTGTCCCTCTAGTGGGTCAGCACTTCTCCATTTGCTTTACAATTTCAAAAAAATCAACTGGCATTTACTCTTCTCTCTTCTCATGTGTTCTTTGACCCTGCATGTTTATACTTTTCTATTGTTTTAATATCATTTTACTGGAGGTGCAAAAGTGGCACAGAGAGTTTGATTTCTCTACCTAACATCCCATCTCTTCTACTTCCTCTTACAAAGAAAATCTCAACTTTCTTGAGAAAGACCATGCTTCTTTAAAAATGCATTTCTCACATTCTCTTGCCACAGTGATAGTCACAGGACACGGTTTAGGCCAGTGAAATGTAATGGAATGTCACTGGGGGAGGCTTTCAGGAGAAACCCTGGAAGATGGCGAACATGGGACATGCACCTTGACTTTTCCCTCCTCCCTGCATAGAATGCAGCCATGGTGATGAGCATCAGGCAACTGATTCTGCATCATACAGTAGCAACAGGATGAGATTAATGGAGTCCAGTTGAGGTTCTTGGTAATACTGTAAAACTACCATCTAGACCCAGTAAAGTACTTAAGTAAAAATTAGTTTGGACAGAAACTAAAGAAACCATCAGTCTGGAATAACTGGCCCTAATGGAATGAACTACAAAGTTAACAGGCAACAGTCTTTCTCCCAAGAACCTGCTGCAGCTATAAAATGTCATAGCAATCCATTTCTTTGAGTGACTATTTTCCTACTCACTGAGAAACTTTGTTCTCTAAAATCATAGTGTCAGAAACTTTGCTGTTTGAAATTAAGTCAGTTAGAATGAAACGTCTCACTCTTGCCTAGAGGATCTAAGTCACTTTGACAGAGAGAAGCAGCCTTGATTTACAACGCAGATGATGAAGTTGAGAGAACTTTAGAGAAGAGAGAACCTTCTACAGCTCTTTTAACTGTGTTCCCAAGGGAGCAGACCTCTGGCCCACTTCCCAGGCTAAGCCTTGGCGCTGATCCATTTACACACAGCCTATGCCTTGAGTCTATCAAGGGGCTCCTTCACTTAGATTCCATCTAAATTTTACTCTTCTCCCCAAACCCAACAATAATTCTGTTTTCCCCTTATTCAGTGAAAATAAGTTTAGACTTAAAAAAGTAAAATCTCATCTGCTGAAATAACTGGCACTAGTCATGCCAGGTGTGAGGCTATATCTGTGTTTACCCTTGTGTGCAGTTGCCTTCAGTCTGTGAGTCAATGAACCTAACTTCGAATTCTGGGTTCATCTCTCGAAGTCTTGGACTGATTAAACTAGAATAATGGCTTAGCTCCAAATTTCCTCTCACTTGAAAAACAAAATCTTAAATACCTGCTTTCAGGTTATTTTTGCTCATAAAAAAATATTGCTAAGAGGTAGATCCAACTAACGCTTTGTACAAGAGATCAAAGAGAATGAAAATAGGGTCAGGGATTTAGCTCAGTGGTTCCACTGCCTGCTTTGCAAGCGCAAAGTCCCAAGTTCTATCCCCCGTACCAAAAAAAAAAAAGAGAGAGATTGAAAATAAACATGAAAAAAAACCTGGGAAAATGATAAAATAGAGACTATACTAGTATCAGAGAAAATAGACTTTAATATCCTATTTGATTTCAATTAGTCAGGAAAGGTCTCTGCATAATTCTATGACAAGGGTTAAGGCCAAGAGATAGAACTGTTAAGACTAATGATCAAAAAAAATCAATAAGAGTCAGTAAGAATATGGCCAAAGGCAACAAACGAAACACCTGAGGTGCCTTAAGAAAAAACAAAGGATTAGGAACACTTAGGATTCTGCTTGCTTCTATAGAGGGATATTGTAGATAAAGACTTTGTTTAGTACACACAAAAAGTGACCCATATTCATATGGGTTCTTTCTCAAGCTAATGTGGCTTAGGAAAACACACAGAGATACACACTGAACAACTGAGTTTTAGTATTTGCCCACAATAAAGTTATCTTACCGCCTTTAATCTTTGAGTATGGTATTCTGCTGCTGAAAAATATTTTCCGGGGCTTACAAGTTTATCAGTCATGTTTGATACATACAGACCAATTTTAGTCATTTGTGTAGATGTTGTATTTGTAGTTTGTTGGATCTTTTTTCTCTGATAAACTGTCTAAAATAAAAACAAAATACTAAACAAATCTTCATTGTATATAGTATTCACTATATACACATATGTGCATATATATATATATATATGGGAAGAGAATTTTTCTATACATTTAAGTTAATTTTTACTATATTTATTGTTATATAACCAACTAGAAAATTTTATTTGAGTCATATAACATATAACAAATTATCAATCCTATAGCTTTAAAAGCCTCAATGGAAAAATAAAAGTATTACCTGTGTGTCCCTACAAAATAAATTAAGCTTCTCAGGAATCTTTTTAGGTACAGTCTGTGTTCCAGCATTGTGATATTCTATTCCTGTTATTCTATGTCTAAATCCACCAATAAATGGCTTGTGAAAGTCAGATTTTACAATTTCAACAAGTACTTCCTGGAACTGATCAATCCCTAAGAGGAAAAAAACCAAGACTCAATGGAAGTTCAGCTGCAAAGGTACATGTAAATACTTTACCTGAAAGACATCAAATAACTCACCAGTTTGTACAATGACAGTTATGATTCGAGAGACATCATTTAATGTAACTATTCTTTTGATTGGATATAGATCCGGATTTAGAGAAGAGAGTTCCAGTTGTACACTTTCCTGTGGCTTAATTCCATGCTGTATGAGAGTCTCATTATTTCTAAGAATTTTACCTAAAGATAAAAATTTTAAGTTTTATGGCAAAGAAATGTCTATGTCTTTTTTAATGGAGAAATAAAATTGTATACACTTAAAATGTACAACATTATATAAACACTGTGAAATAAAGCTAATTAAGCACATTAACATGTCCATTACTTCAAATATTGATTGTTTTGTGGTGAGAACACTTAAAATTTTCTCTCAGCAATTTCAAGTGTGCAATATACTATTATTTACTACAGTCACCATGATTACAATAGTCTTTAGAAATATATAACCAGGTAAACACATTTTAACGTGATATAAATTACCAAAGATGCTTATAGAAACATGTATCATTTAATTATTAAATAGAGAATTAATAGTTTCTGCCTCTTGCTGTAATGTTAGTACAAAAAACTCTTATAAGAGAGTTTTCTCTTATAAGAGAGCTTATATAAGAGCTTATAAGAGAGCTTCTCTTAGAGAGCTACTAGAAAGAAGCTCAAAGCCTCCAAACATAAAATAATTATAAGGAGATGTAAACATTACTCTGATTTGATCAGTATATACTTTATATATGTTGAAGTATTATTCTGTATCTCATAAATATGTACAGTTATTTTTTGTTAATCAAAAAATTCTTAATGTTTAAGGAGATAGAAATGCTAACTACCTGGTTGGATCATTATACACTGCATCTATGTATCATGTATCAGATTATCACACTGAACTCCATAAATATGTATAAGTAAAATAATAATAAAGTAAAAATTAAACTCCATAAGTGGAAGAGTTATAGTGCCATTTTTGTGCAGGAATTCAGCACTATAAATAAAGCTACAATCCTGAATTTTTTAGATATATAAACATATAACAACCATGAAATGTAATATACATTTAAAAATAAAAACATTCTATAGTATGAACAGGATCATGTACTAAACCTTGACCCAATGGAAAAGCATAATGTTTTATATGTAAATATGGGACATATCTGTCTGGAGCAATGCTATATAATTTTAGGAAAAAATCATTTGATTAGCCTAGTTCTCCTGCCTACAGCCCAGGTATGGCATTCCAAGACATAATTCCATTTTGGCCTCCGGTCACAACTGAGACCTCAATGACCCGGTGATGCTGTGATGCTCCACGACAAGATTACACCAGCTGAAGACATCCTGGGAGGAACAAAATCTTCATCTACTCAGTTCTTCATTGTTCTTGGATTGTTTTATCTTGCTTACCCGGATGTACTGAACTCTCTGCAAGTCATTTTTTACATTTATTTCTCCTGATGTACTGAATAAAAGGTGCTACAGTAAGCTGGGGGCTTTCATCTTTGCCGCCCAGAGCAGCACTGATCAGACCCAAAGCTCAGCTTCTTCTCAGTCTCATTTTTCTACCTTTCCTGTAATTCGCCTTGTGCTGCTGTGGCTCACAGGAGACTAGAACTTACTGCAGAGGTTCTAGTAACGTCCCCTTTCCCTGTTCCCTACACATATCTATTTTAGGGAATCAGGATTATTATAAAACCCATTCCACCCTCTAAGGTAGAAAAGCATAGACTCAAAATTCTACAAAATTCCTTCCTTTTTCTCTTTCCATAATCAGAAATTCACATAACTTAATAAAATGCCAAATGAAGTTTAACCTCAGTTTTATGCTGGAGAAGGTGTGTATCACTTCATTTGTTGTTGTTGAACTGCTTCAACTTCTACTCCTTTTTCTGGCTCCATCCTACCATAGGTGTATTCAATAAATTAACTTTCTTTCCTTGTTTTAAATCATATGAAAGTGCAGTAATGTTACTGGTTGTTGTTTTGTGTCATACAAACTTTACTGATGGAACTTATATCAACCTTCAAATGTACAGTCTTCCTCAATTACAATTAGGAATTTGAACACAGCAGTAGTGATACTCATAAGACATATAAAACACCAGTCATCTGTTTTGGCTATGTCCAAGAAAGCACATTCTAAGGTCTTTGAGCTTAAATGTCACACCCTATATTCTTAATTTTAAAAATAAACATGAATATCTCTATACTTTTTGATAGGTTGAATAATGCTCACAAATGCATCCATATCCTACTCCAAGAATGCTCCCTTATACAGAAAAACTGACTTGTATAGGATTTTGAGATGAAGGGATCATCCAATCCTATCTGGTTGTGCCCTAAAAATAATCACATGTGCCTTGATCAGAGGAAGGAAGACTGAAATTTGACCCTAGAGGAAAAGGCAATAGGACAGAGGAAAGGAGATGTGAATATGCTACTCTGTGACTCCGAAGATGGAGAAGAGGCCAATGAATCAATGAATGCTAGGACTGCAACTCTAAGGCTGGAAGGTGAGGAAGTGGATTCTCCCCTAGAGTCTCTGGAAGGACAGCAGCCATGCTGACACCTTGACTGTGAGTTTCCCAGTGAAACTGATTTAGGATTTCTGGCTTCCAAAACTGCAAGAGAAATACACGTGTTGCTTTATACCACTGATCACGAGCCCCAGTCAGTAAGTGCTCTCTCTTCAATTTTGGACTTCACCTTTGAGATAACGGGAAGTAATTTCAAATTTCCTCTTTGGAGTCATATCTATATTTCAGTTCAGACTCTGGCACTTAGCATTTGTGTAACTTTAGAAAAGTTTCATGTTTTAGTTTTCACCTCTCAGAAAAAAGTTAATAGTAATACCTATCTCAAAAGATTGTTCCGTGGACTAAATGATAATGTAGGCAAAATGCTTTGCAGAAGCACTAACACATAGTAAGGCTTCAATACAGTAATCTTTATGATCAAAACCATTATCATTACTTTTATTAATAATTATTTGAAATTTAGTTTCCTTAATTAAACTCTGGTTATTTGAATACATTTTACTTTTTGAGTAATACATTCACTATAATGGATGCCTAAAATAGTTTTTCAATTTAATCATTTTTCTCTGGAAACTTTATAAGTCAATACCAAAACTCTCAAAACAAAATATTAGGAGTTTTTCAGACATGTTCTACAGAAATATATACTAGTCTGGGGTAACTATCACAAAAACTACATCCAATCATGAAACAAGGCTAACATAACTTCTGTGAGGCTTCTCAGTATCATCCACAAAATATAAATAAACCTAACTAACATCATGGGAATGACCTTAATATATAGAAAACACAGTATTTTCAGGGGATGGGGAATGCAACACAGTGGTATAATACTTGCCTAGCATGCATGAGGCCCTAGGTTTGCTCCCTAGTACAGAGAGAGAAAGGAAGGAAGGAAGGAAGGAAGAAATGAAGGAAGGAAGAGAAGAAGAAAGAAAGAAAGAAAGAAAGAAAGAAAGAAAGAAAGAAAGAAAGAAAACTCTAAAGTCTCTGAAGTTCCTTTCTCCCATTCTCATAGCTTTTTGTACATATTTCCATTGAAGCATTTACACATTACGTAGTAACTACTGCATGCAATTCTTCCTTACTAGTCTATTGACAACTTGAGAATAAGAATCTCATTTCATGTTTCTTCATATCTTCAGTTATTAACCAAATAATGTAGCACAAATTCTTCAATAAAAAAATCTTTTAAACAAATGAACACACAACCACAATATGCTCCAATAGTAAACATCAAGATATTTAGTTTTGGACATCAAAGATATCATTTACATGTTAAAACTAGAGAAGACTTAATAAATTCATTACCCTTCAAACTTACCTGCATAACTTATCTGCAGTTCAGAAGATGGGATACCTAATAAGCGTGAAAAATGATCCCCAAGGTATTTTAAAATGGTGTCAACCTTAAAAGACATTATAATTTTCTGACCCACAGGAATAAGTACAACTTTTACTGTAGAGAAAAAGAAAATAAATAATCATAATAAAATATATCCAGGGATAGCCACTTATACGCCACAGATGTAGAACTATGGGCCCCTTTTTAATCATATGGAATGCAGGTTGCTTCTCCACCACACTCAGTCACATATATGGAGAAATGGCCAACACTGACTTTAAATTTTAAATTATCATGTATTTTTTCTTTTCTTTTTTTTTTTTTTTTGGTACCAGGGATCAAACTCGGGACCTTGCACTTGCGAGGCAGGCGGCAGAACCACTGAGCTAAATCCCCAGCCCCATCATGTATTTTTTATAAGTTATAATATCGGGGAACTACAAAACTATTCAAAATTAAACCCAAATTTCCACTAAATAATGAAATTGAGAAATATTCTGTTCTGTCAGGTATAGTTTTCTGACTTTCTTTTTCATTCTTTACTTAAACTACCCACTGTATTCAAAAACTACATTTAACAAGCCAAACTAAACTGCTGTTATTATTGTTGTTAAATAATGGCCCATGTTCTCCACTGTGTTGGTGGAAACTGTCTTAAAATTCATAAACAAGGAGGAAAAGGAATGGTCAGTTAATGGTTTTCTGTGAAAGCACCTTATTCCTGCTTCCCCTTCTTTGTTATCAAGAATGTAATAATAACCACTCAGTGTAATCAATATTATTTGGTAATGTCTTTAAAACTGATCTACAGTGAAAGACAACAATGATTTTTCCAAAGCTAAATATGAGGTTAACACAAAACAGACTACAGTGATATGTAAAAGCAACCTGTTTAGTGGAATGGACACGGAATGTGAAACTAAAAATCAGGAGTCAAATTCTCACAACTCTTGCTAGCTATGTACAACAATTAATTCCAAATAGGCATGCAAAGAAATTCCAAATAGGCATGCAAATAAATTCCAATTATACTGAAGCATTTGTCCACCATTTCTCAAGGTTTGGGGGCATTTTCAAAACTTACTTTTTTGAAAAACTATACAAATATGAATTTAAAATTTAATGATGCTCATTTATTGAGGAAAAATAGCAGTGTGGGACAGAGAGTTTTTCACAGATACTGAAGAGATTCCAGTGGTGTAAGCACAGAAGTCTGGTGGATAAGGAAATGGGAAAGTAGTATCAGATATAAAATACATCTTCAAACAAAAATTAACAAGAAAAGCATCCATTTTTTGAAAAAGGAAAATAAAATATCCTATCTTTTCTAGGTAATACCTGTTGCTGAGGGATCTTTAATTGATATTTGCAAAGACTCCTTTATAGCCTTTATCTTATACAGAAAGGCTAGATTTTCATCACTTAGATTCTGCTCGTCTGGCTGCATTGCGTGCTGCTCTTCTTCAAGTTTCAGTGTATGAGAAGCTTGTCTTGGAGATATAGTCTCTACCACGAGTTCTTCTTCATTTGATTCTGGACTTGTAGCACTCTGGTAACTTTGGTCTTTGGATGTTGCATGACCTGTAGTGAATTGTTCTTCTTCAGATCCATTTTCTTCAGTTAATTCTGACTCTTCCAGTGTGTCTGAGGGAACTGGGATATTGATAATGTCAATAGCATCATCACTTTCTTCTGTGGATTCAACTATGCCCCAAACATCCAACTGTTCCTCTTGATCAGACATTTTCCTAAATTAAAAAAAAACAAACACATTTACTATGTATTGGAGAGTTTCTACATCAAATATCCAATTTATTGATGGTATAGAGTGGTGTTCATAATACAGTATAATGTTGCTCATTATTTCTTAAATGTTGATTATCTTACTAATAGCAACGTTAAAAAGCATTGGTGAATTTTTAATAAAACAAAGTAAAAGAAGTAAAAATTAAAAGTAAAATAACTTCAAAACAAGAATTTTGAGAGCAATATTCTATGAAGAATATATGGAAAAAATAGTTGCATATATTTTGTCATTCATCCTTACTCAAAAAAGTATGTCATAATAAAAAGACTTCAGAAATACTCTTTTCTGAATATAAAACTAACATGGATATATGCCTCTCACATTACAAATGATTAGAAGCTTCAAAGAGCCAGCCAGCTTCACAGCAACTGTTTCTTAGCTTCAATAGATACTTTGCATTAGCTCTGCACTCACACATTGTGGAGACCTCCAATGATCTATGCCCACAAAAACAAACATGCAAATGTGAGTTGAGCTTAGAGTTAATTAGAGCTTGAGAAACAGGATGACAGCAACTAGTAGCTTTGGCCAGGGTAGTCCAGGGTATCCAGAGTTAGGGTACAAAGAAGGAGCTAGATAACAGCAGTGAGGAGCCAGAAGAGCAAACTACAGAAGCTGGAAGCCAGGAAGAGAGGGTAGAGGAGGTAGCCCTGAGCTTGGATTTTCTATGACAACAGTAAGGGGAAGATTAGACCTGGGAACAGGAGTAAGACACAAAAGCTAAATCTGAGGCTTCTGATTTGAGCATAAATTCTTAGAGAAAGAAAGAGAGAAAATTCACCCCTAGACAGTGGAGAGATCTGACTACCAGGAAACAAAATTTTTAAAAAGAAACATCTGAAATAAAGAATATATAATTGTTCAACTCAATGAACAAGCTATAAAGCGTTAGAAAGAGTTGAAGAGAGGATTAGTCAACTGGGAGAAAATATTTTGTATTAAATGCTACAAAGGGATTAAGATATAAAAATATGAGTGAATTAGAGCCATGGAGAAGGAAAAAAAAATCTAGCATATGGTTTTGCTGTTTTTCAGCCAGCAAAGAATGTGTCTGTATTCTTAAAAAGCAACAAAGAATATGCAACAGAGATTGCATGTGGCCTATAAAGCCTAAAAATGGCCCTTTCAGAAAATGTTTGTCAGCTTCTGATCTAGCATATATCAAATTAGAGTCCCAGAAGGAGAAAATAAAATTAGAAGGAAAAAGAAATATTTTAAAAGACAATGACTGAGAATTTTTCAAAACTAGGAGAATGTGTTGATCCACAGATCCAGTAAGCACAAAATAAATCTACATACCTAATAAGATAAATATAAATAATTCATAACCATATACATTATAATGAAATTATAGCAAACCAAAGACAGAGTCCTGAGGGTGAACAGTCATAAAGGACACATCATCTATTGTTTGGAATCATTTTAATTTGGTGACATTAATATAAAGAAAAGTGACTGAAAACTTATCAGAAAAAAATAAAAGCAAAGCCAAGAAGAAACTAAATGAAAGAAAATAATCATAACATAGAATTATGCACCCAGAAAAATTATCTTTCAAGGAAGAAAATGGAAATAACTGCAAGTAAGTTACCACAAAGATATCTGCTCTAAAGCAATTTCTAAAGGATATCATTAAAAGAGGAAAATTATTCCAAGGAAAGATTAACACATAAAGCCACAAACATATAGGTAAATTAAAACAAATATTGTCAGTATGAAATTATCATAGAAAATTGAAATAGTAGAGGTAAGAGACTACTATACAACTATACAATAACAAATTGGAAAAACTAGAAGAAATGGATAAATTGCTAGAAACTCACAACTACCAAAGAAACAGAAACCTGAACACACTAATAATGAGTAAGGACATTGAGTTAGCAATCAAAAATAATTCAAAAAAGAAAAACTCAAGACCAAATGGGCTCATGGAAGAATTATTCTGCCAAATATTTAAAGAATTAATACCAATCTTTCCTAAACTTTCTAAAAAATTAAGTTTAGGAAATACTTCAAAACTCACATTATGGGGCTGGGGATTTAGTTCAGTGGTTCCACTGCCTGCCTCAAAAGCACAAGGACACAAGTTTGATCCGCGGTACCAAAAGAAAAAAAAAAACAAAAAAACCCTCATGTTATGGAACCAGCATTATACTAAAAATAAAGTCATACAAGGACACTATAGGAAAAGGAAATTACATGCTAAATCCCTATACATATAGATGCAAAAGATCCTCAACAAAGTAAGGGTTGAAATTCCTAATCCAAAAAGTCAAAACTGAAAATGCTAATAAATCTAAACCTTCAATTTATTCCAAAATCTTAAAAACTCTAAAATTTGAAACATTTTTGCTCTCTTTTGGAAAAGGGATCCTCAACCAGAGTTAGCAAAATGAATTCAACAGCATTTGTTTTATTTGTTTGTTTAATGCGTACATGTTTGCAATTCATGCCGTTTACAATTATCTTGGGGAGTGATTACATGCACATATTACAGCTTGTTTCTTTTTTTTTTTTAATTCCTTTCCCCTTCACTCCCTCTACCCCTCTGGTTCCCCTTTCCCCTTTTTCATACTTGTTGATATTGTTTGTCTTGGCTCATGTTATGGCACATAGTGTTTATAAAAATTGGAGCTTTTGGGTTTCTATACATGGCATATCTTTCTTTTTCTTATTTCACCTTCCCCCTCCTCCTCATCCTTCACCCTTGTTTGCTAGGACCACTCTCGTCCTGCAAGTGATCCATCCCCTTGTCCCTTTCTATCCATCCTTTTGCATTTTCTTTGTACTTTGCCCCCCTCAAATGAGAGATATCATATGATATTGAAGTGTGTGTATCTGGTTTATTCACTCAACATTATATTTTCTATGTGTATCCATTTCCTTACAAATACCTCATATTTGTCATTCTTTATAGCCAAGTAGTATTCCATTATATACAGATACCACATTTTCCTTATCCAATCATCTGTTGATGGGTATTCAGGCTACTTCCAGGATTTAGCTATTACAACAGCATTTTTAAAAAGAGCATTCAACATAATCAAGTGAGAATTATTCCTGGGATTCAAGGATGTTTCAATATATACAAATCAGTAAATATACACATTTATTAGCATCTTAGCAGAATTAAGGTCAAAAACTATATGATCATATCAATAGATGCAGAAAAAGTATTTGAAAAAATTCAACATGTTTTTATGGTAAAATTTTCAACAAATTAAGCATAGAGGAAATGTATCTCAATGCAAGAAAAGCCACATAATGAAAAGTTCACAGCTAATTCATTCAATGGTAAAATGTTGAAAGCTTTTCTTCTAAGATCAGAAATAAGCCAAGGATGCCCTCTCTTACCATTTCTATTCAATGTAGCTCTGTAAGTTCTAGTCAGAGCAGTTAGACAAGAAAAAAAGAAAGGAAAGAAGGAGAAAAAAAGGAAGGAAGGAAGAAATGGAGAAAAGGAATGAAAGGGAGAGAAGGAAAGCATCTAAATAAGAAAGGAATAAGTCAAATATTTTGCACTTGCCTAGTATGCATGAGCCCTGGGTTCAATTCCCAGCAATAAGAAAAACAAATGGTCTTTGCTCTAGAAGAAGACTAGCTCTATCTCTCAAGGCTGCTCATCATACAAGCATCCTTAAAAAGACAGTCCAGAACAAACCTGCCATTGCCTCTCAAGCAGAAATACAAGACAGCTGTGGAGAACTGTCTCCCAAGAGGAATGCCAGCCAGCACCAAGGAGCCTCCTCTAGAGTCAGCATCTTGTGAGTATTCTCATAGCTGTCCAGTGAGGATGTCAAGTTCAGAACAACAACCATGGTGTGTATCACACAGCCAGCAGGAGCTAGGTCTGCTCATCTGTACTCTGGAACATTGTTAAGTCCCATCTGATTGCACCCAGTGTGGATACGGCCCCATGCAAAGGCCCACAACACTTACTAGCACTCCCAGGGCAGAAAACTACAGAGTATCCAACCAAGGTAGAAAAACATTAAACCAACTAGGTCACCCACCAAGGCAACAGCGTAGACCCTCCTAGGCCTGAGACAGTACATTTCATAACCATACAATGAGTAACTACTGTCCAACAGTGTAGTAAATGACTGCTTTTGCAGTCATCCTCAATTCTTCTTTTTCTCTCACCCATTATTCAGTCATTCAATACATCCTGTTGATACTGACCTGAAAACCCAGTCTTAGTCATAGTTCAACAGTACTACTGTAAGAGCCTATCGGTCACATTAGTTTCATTTTGAAACTTCTACCTCCAAAAAGAGTCCATTATCCTCACAGCAGCCAGAGATTTTTTTTTTAACCTTGTGCATATGATAAGTGCTTTACCACTGAGCATCCTACCCCTACAGAAATATTTTTAATCAGACCAAATCGTGGCCCTTCCATACTTCAATACCCCTATAGTAAAATGTTTTCCAGAATAAAAGCTAAAATATCCATCTTGGCTTTTTTCAAGGTCCTAAATGACCTGGATCATGCTCACCTCTTTGACCTCATTTTCTAAACGCGCCACCCCCCACCTCCATCTTACTATATGTGCGGTTGATTTTCACTTTAGGACTTTCTTTTTTTCTTCTTTTTCGGTACTGGAGATTAAACCTAGGGCTTTGAGCATGCTAGGCAGCCAGTCTATCACTGAGCTACGGCCCCAGCTATTTACTTTTATTTTTAGACGGTTGCTCAAACTGGCCTTGCACTTGTGATCCTCTTGCCTCAACCTCCCAGCTAGCTGGGATTGCAGAGGTGGCTCACCAAATCAGGTTTGCATTTTCTATTTTCTCTGTCAAAAGTGTGTTGCCAGAGATCTGTACCATTAACTCCTTCTAATCTTCCTCATCTCAGCTCAAATGCAACTCCAAGGAGGATCGCTAACTACACTCCACTCCCCTACCTATTTTATTGTATTCATAGATCTAATCACTGTTGAAAAGCATAATTTGTTCACTCATTTGCTTGGTTATTGTCTGTCATCCCTTAGTAAAATAATGTTGTCATGAGAGGAGGAATCTTTTTTGCTTATCAATGTTGGTTCTTCACAAGAAACAGGTTTAGCAATTGGTATATGCTCAGTAATTCTTGATTTTGATATATAAATAGGTAAATGCTGGATGCAAAGATCAATATTATGAGAACTGTTGACATAATTTACTAAACTAATTGAGCAAAAGGAAAAATACTTGTACATATGCCAAAAATCAGTACATATTCTTGATTCCAAAAGCTAAAAATAAAATCAAACTTTCTTTTTCTGATAAAGTTTATCAACTTGTAATATCATATTTAATTAAACACTAGAAGAATTCTCATTAAAGTTAGGATCAAAAATAAGATGCAATTATTGCTGCCATTGAACATCATAAAGAATTGAGGTATAATTTGAAGATAGTGCCGAAATTTTATCACTTAAATGAGTCCCTTTTAAATTGGAATAACAAAATCAATATGAACACGCATTATTGAAAGAAATACCCAGAAATTAGAAAATAGAATATATTAGTTCACTTTCTCTATCTATGTACCACAACCTTTAAAAAAATAAAACTTAGTTATAACTGACCTCATTCATTTTCTTGACAAATTTTTATTGGGCACCTGCTCATTACCAATTACTCTTTGATCTGTGTCTAAGGACACAGAAATGAACAAACTACATTTATTGAAACATCCATGCAGTAATCAAACTTACCTTCTAATGGGGAAATCAGACAAGAAACAACGAAAGTAGCAAAATATATACTGGGTCAGATGAAGACAAGTGTTAGGAAGATAATACAGAAGATAGAGAAGAAGTATTCCTGTTTCCAGAGAAGGCATGACAGAGTACAGTGGAGGGTTTTGCTGAAGCAAGTGTGGTGGGAAAGGGATAGCTCATCTATGGTAAGATGACATTTGAGCAAAAGGTTAAAGTGAGAAAATAAGTAAGGCACGAGGACAAATGAGGCAATAAGAGAAAGCAAATACCTAGGCAATAGCTAGTGATTTCATGTGTCTGGACAGCAGTGAGCAAAGGGAAGAATAGTAGGAGTCGAAGTCAGAGACCAGATTGTGGGGAGAGGGTATCGCATCAGATCGGGCCTTATAGGCCATCAGAAAGACTTTGGCTTTGACTCAGTGAAGCCAATAGAAGGTTTTGAGGAAAGAAATAATGGTATCTTACAATTTAATAGACCTAATCAGGCTGCTAGATTGTCAAAGAGATTATGGGAGGCAAAAGAGTAAGAAGCTGGTAGATGACTAGGAGTCTCCTGGAATCTACTGCAGTAACCAAGATATGATGTGAAAAGGACCAGAGTGATAGTGGAGGACAGATGGTGAGAAGTGGCTACATTCTGTGTATATTTTAAAGATAGAGCTGAAAGGATTTGATGCTGAACTAGCTATAGGCTATGAGATAAACACAAAAATCAGGGATACTGCTAATATTTTTAGCCTGAGCAACTGGAAGGATAGAGTTGCAATTATAGAAATGAGGAAAGCTGAAAATAAAGCAGGATTGGAATATGAGTGGGAGTTATATCACAGTTTGGTTTGGGGGAAGCGGATGTTTGAGATGCCCATTGGACAGTCAATGTAGGTTGGGTAATTTGGAGTTCTGAGAAGCTGTCCAGGAAATAGAACCTGGAGAGTTAGAAGTCTGCAGATGATATGAGATTTGTGACATCTATGCAGTTACAAATAGCAGCCACGTGATATAAAGCAAATCTTTTGATGGATACTGTATAAATCAACACCCCTCCACCTTTCTTGGCAATGCAACTGCCTCCATTTGCTATTTGCTGTGTTTTGTGATGTGTTTTGTGTTCATTACTAGTTTATTAAGTTATATGACCTGAATTACTCTACTGCCCACAACATATATCCCATGAGAAAGATAGTACTGATGATTTCCCTTCCCTATAACATGTAGGTTCTATGTAAGGTAGTATCTACAGTTCATAGGAGGTCCTTAATATGAGTAAGTCATAAAAAGTAAATAATTGCATAAAAAGTTTTCAAGCTGTTAGTTGCTTTTAAAGAAGGTGGTTAGCAACTATCCTTATAATAATTAGCAGTGATAAGCATCTGTGTAGCCTAAAAATAAGAAATTTCAAGGTTCTAAATTATAAAATCATAGTGGTTATAGATCAGAAAGGACTCACTCCCATCTGGTACTGTGCTCTCAACTTTGGTTTTCCAAAGTGGAATTTCAGGAAGAAATCAACCTTATAGCCAGTTGACCTGTGTTCGAATCTTCACTTAGCAAATCCCTGGTGAGAGAAGCAATCTGCCATGGGACCTGACTGTCCCAACATATTCGTACTGGGTAAAACAGAAATGCAAAGCCAAGACCACTGCTTACTAAGGCTATATCTCAGGGTTGTATTTGCAACAAGAACTTATGAAAGTTGAGATAACTTCTTCCCTTAAAGAGCAGGTTTTGCTTAGTTTACTATACAAGCAGTAAAATTCCCCTGTGCAGACACCCACGTAGGCTCAATGCTCTGGACTGGATTTGGTCTGAGTGCATCCCTCAAGGGCTCGTGCACTGAGAAAATGGTCCTCAGTCTGACAGTGTTGGGAGGTGGTAGACCCTTAAGAGGTGGAACTTCATGGGAAGCAAAGGGGAGCACAGCCCCAGAAAAGATTAATGTCTGTAGGACCAGAACTACTCCAGAGAGAGCCCTCCCGACCTCTGGCTTCCAGCCTGGAGTTGTGTGGCTCCCTTCCATGTGACCTCTTGTCATTATGATGGCGACAATGCAGCCAGTGGATTCTCAGCAGGCTGGCACTGTGCCTTTTGGACTTTCATCCTTGGAAACTGTGACCTAAAAAAACCTATTTTTCTTCATGAGTTTCTCAAGAGAAGCTATTCATTTATATCAGAAAACCGACTGGCATATTTACCTGTGTCATCCCTGCAGGCCCAGGGACCATAGGAAACTGGCACAAACTTGAAGCACAGGCTACTTCTGCCATGAGTCCTTTGTCTCTGACCAGAACACCAAAAACAGAGATAGATAAATGTATTCATGTGCAAGGCAAAATACCAAACCTCCACAGTTCTTGACTCTTACTAATTGTTTGACTTGAAGATACAAAGTTTCTTAAGCCTTATTTTCCTCATTTGTGAAATGGATTATTAACAACTTCAATATCAAAGTTTCTCTTAAGAATTAAACAAAATAATGTATAGAAAAGTACTTAGCAAATAGTTGCAGGCACACAGTAAGCACTTAATAAATGTTATCCAACCACTAATGGACTATTTCTAAACTTTCTAAAAGGCTAGTAATAATTATACATGAGTAATGCCTCACAGGTGCTACACAACTATTTATTTTATTCAATGAAAATACTTCCAAAATAAAGCATAAAATTAGCAAATATTTATAAATTATTTAATCCTCATAATTGATGTTATTGTGCTCATTTTACAGATAAAGAACTTAGCATAGAAAATTTGAATGTGTTCAACATCATCCATCAGAAAAGTAAATCTGTGATGCAAATCCAGTCAATCTGGATCCATGCTTCTAACCACGACAGAGCTTGCATGTGAGAATTCATGGGGACTTGGGAGAACAGGTAAGGGTTCTGGTGATCAAGGAAAAATCTAGGAACTGCTGATCTCAATCTAGGTGAGGGATGCCTCATGGTATGTTAGTGGAGGTCAATTCAGAGGTTAATGATAATTTTACAATCAGAAACTGTCTTTTATTTTTCAGTGAGAAACGTGACTGATTTAAAGTTGAGTAGAAAATATTCAGCAGGGTTTTGTTTTCTTCATCCATTTAGAATAAGCTGATAATTATAGTGATTCTTAATACTCCCCAGATATATATTAACATGCTCCACTCATACCTATAAATATGCATAAACTTACAATCCGTAGATATTAAATGTAAATGACAAGACATAGATATCACAGTGTGAAACATAAAATGCTGTGAAATTCCAGCCTAAACAGGTAGCAATATCATCATAGCTATGGCTTGAAATATTTCATTAATGTTTTTTCATTATTGTTATTGTTAATTTTGTTGCTGTTGTTAGCCAGGGCCTTGGCAAGCCAGGCAAGCCCTCTACCACTGTGTTATATCCCCACCCCTTTAGAGACAGGATCTCACTAAGATGTCCAGTCTGGCCTCAAACTTACAATCCTCCTGCTTCAGCCTTCTGAGTAGTACAATTGTTGTTTTTAAGAGAGCAATATATGCTTACAAAATAAATAAATAAATAAACTTAACAAAGCAGAAGAGAATAAAATAGAAAGTAAAAGTACCATCTTATTTACATACCTTAATTTTATTCCTCAATATTTGGCAATGTTCACAGTTTATCTGTCCAGAAATTGTCTACAATTACGTATTTAATTGTATCTGTTTATGTTCATACGTGTTATGGCTTGTGTTTAGATGTCCCCCCCCGCAAAGCCTCATGCAGTTTTAAGTGGGACTTTTTCAGAGGTGGCTGAATCTAGAGTGTGGGATTGATTCATGGTGCAATGTTAGGCCTGAGGGCACTAGGTTAAGGGTGTGAGTGCTGCCCATCCTAAGTAGTCTGAATAAAAGGGGCAGAAAGATGCAGTTAAGGTCCCTTGTTGCTTCTGCTACCTTGTGGTTGCCGGGAACTGTTTCGCCTCTGTACTTAGCCCTCTGCCATGTGCCACCCTGCCTCAGAGCAAGCTGATTATGGACTAAAACCTCTACAAACTGTGAGCTAAATAGTGTCTTTCCCCTTTAACTTTGGGCATCTGGTATTTTGTCTCAGCAAGGAGAGAAAAGTACCCAAGACAATGTGTCATTCATCTTGATTGTTAACTTGACTGGAATAGGGTGTTGTTCTTGGAAGGGTGACTGGATTGTGAGAGGACTAACCTTATAATGGATATGAACTGATGAGTTCACAGATGAATGGGCTGTTAGGAGGTGGGACTAGTTGGAGGAAGTGGCTCATGGGGGCATGACCTTGGGAACTGAATCTGGTCACTGGCCCCTACCTCTCTGGCTCTTCCCCACTCTCTGCTTCCCAGGGGGCACACATTAAGAAGCATCTCCTTCACTATATCCTTCCAGTGCCTTGGAGCTAACCAACCATAGACTGAGGCCTCTGAGACTGTCAGTCAAAATAAACTGTTTCTCCCTTAAATTGCACATGGCAGGTATTTTGTCCCAGCAACAGAAAAGTCAAGTGATATAGCTTATATCAATATAAATTTGAATATATAAACTATATGACCATATATTTTAAAGCTTTGTACTATTTTACAACTTTTAAAAATTTAATATATACTTAACAGACATCTTAACATTTATTTCTACATAAAACCTATTTCTCCACCTCAGTCCTTTCAACTTCATCACAGGGCTAAGCCATGTTCAGCTGTTTGCCCTACTATGGATATTAAAAATATAGCACTGCAACAATCATCTTGTACATACATCTCCGTATACATCTGTAAGTATAATATAAAATATGACCTAGAATTAGAACAAATAAACCAAAGGTATACAGAATTTAATTTGGTCAAATCCCATCAAATTGCTTTGCAAAGGAAACATCACATCATGGCCCCAAGAACAGTCCCCTGGCAGTTTCCGTCCACGCTTATCCTGTTTCGTTAGGCTTAATCAGATACCCTGTCTTTGTGTGTTATACTTCTCATTATATACTTGATGTTATGTTTGTGTTCTCTTTTATTATACTGAAGTTTTAAATTGTTAGGTAGTGAAATGTATTCATCTTTTTGCTTATAAGAGTTTCCAAATTTCATGAAATGCTTAGAAACACCTTCTCAGAATGAAACATACATTTATTCATTCATAGATAAAGTGAGGCATGTCTATAAATGATAGACAATGATTCCAAGATATACAATGTTAAGTATAAATGTGAAGCACAGTACGAAATATACAATGACAGGTACAACTACACATTTATATGTATGTAGATCATCTCTGGAAGTAAAACTGGAGGTGTGGAGGGGAACAGATAAAAGGCAGATTTTTGATGTTCATCTTCCTATTGTTTAAGTTTTTAATCATTTTATGTATTAACTATTCAAACAGTTTTAAATTTATCATCAAGAACTTAAAAACCTACAAATGTTGGTGAGGTTGTAAGGGAATGGGGAGCCCTCTACACTGTTGGTGGACTATAAACTAGAGCAACATTATGGAAAGTATTTCCACACTATAGAAATTAGTGTGGAGATTCCTCAAAAAACCTTAAAATAGAAATTTCATTTGACTCAGCTATTCCTCTTCTTGGAATTTTCTTGAAAGAGCTAAGACATCATATTACACTGATAGATGCATACCCATGTTTATAGCAGGCAGTACAACTCCTAATGGCTAAATCTTGGAAGCAGCCTATATGCTCATCAACAGATGACTGAGTAAAGAAAATGTGGTATATACATAATGGATTTCTACTCAGCCATAAAGAAGGATAAATTTGAATCATTTATAGAAAAATGGATGTACTTGAGACCATAATGCTAAGTGAAATAGAGCAGATGCAAAAGGTTAAATATTGCATAGTTTCCTCTGTCATGAGAAACCCAAAGTATAGATAATTTAAAAAGCAAAATAAAAGATTGTAGGAAACAAGGACACAGGCATTTTGATGGGAGGGAGATCTAGAGATGGAGGGAGATCTGGGGGGGAGAATAAAAAGGATTAAGAGGCAATATGAATAGGTACCAATTCCCCATGATGAATCTATTCATTGTGCATTGCAAATAACTAATAAAAATAAAGAAAAGAAAAAATTAAAAAGCAGTTTCTATTATGACTGTATACAAAGAAGTTCTCCTTTTCACTTGAAATGCAAGATTTCATTTTTTACCCCTTAACTCTTGACACACCTAGAATATTAGTATAAGTAGTAAGGCAGAGATCCAGTTTTGCCCTCTACCAAACAGGCCTGTCAGGTGGCGGAAAAGAGTGAAAGCCCTCGATTTACTAGACTGAAAAGTACTTTGAAGGAAGGCTACAGGTTTTCTGACGTCTTGTTTCTACACTATTACCTTGTGTTAAGAACTCAGGAGAGAGTTGATGCACACCTCCCAGCCTGAAGCGGCTGCTTCTGAAACCCAAATCAGAGGCAGAGCTAGAAAAGGCGCTGAGGCAGACCGGTGGTTTACAGGACTTTGAAGGCAGAGGCGTGGCGTTCTTCAGTGGCCTAGCAGCCCCCGGGCCCAAGCGGATTGGAGATACCTGTTCAAGGCCCAGCCTAGGAGGCCGGCCAGAAGGCAGCCAGACTTGGCCTTCTACCTGGCTAAGACACGCAGCCCCTGGGGACCAGGCGGTTTCTCGGGTCCTTGGGAAGCGGCTACAGCACTTGCCAGAGCCTCTGTTGCCGGCCGTATCTTAGCAACGGTCCCGGCGCCGCCTCCTCCGGCCTGTGCGAGGTCCCCGCGCAGCACGCAACCCGGCTGGGGAGGAGGAGAGCCAGAGGGGAGGCTGCTATCTGCTGGGCACCTCGATGAAAAAGGACTCCGACGCCTTCCTCTCTCCGAGTCCTGTTACACTGGTAAAAGGGCACCGCTCTCCCAACCAAACTCTAACGGCAATTTAAGCGTACAATCTTTTCTTTAAATCATAATCAGAGAATACAGGTTACAACAGTGAGTGCCTTCTTGATTTTGTTAATTTTAGAACTCCGCTTTTGACTTCCTGGCAGCCTAAGAGAAAAGGGAGACCATAGCTATTAAGTAGTTGCCCGTTTCTAAGAAACAAAACGTTTTGTTAAAGCACTAAATTACAAAGGGCCCTCCTTGTCAGTAAATTCTTTAAGGAAATTTTAAAAGAAGAACGGAATAGTGTTGGGGGAAAAATCAAGTATGTTCCTGTTAAAAATGTGGTAACAAACTTCACGTGACTATCTCATAATACTGCTTATTATTGTCACTCAGCACCTTACATATATAGATTCCTAATTTAGTCCTTACAAAGATTTTATTAAAGAGGAGCTGCTATTACTTGCATTTTACTAATGAGAAAACCAAGACACACAAAGGTTAACTTTAAAAAAAAAAAAAAAAAAAAAAGACTTAAACCCAAGCAGTCAGACCCTAAAGCCCAGATTTTAAAGCATTATTCTATGTTATGTTTAACATCCTACAGTATTTTTAAAATATGTGGAGTTAACAAAATTAAATATTTTTATATGTAGTACACGTCCATTCCCTCATTTACAATGGTCAGAGTCTTTATTTCTTTATGCTGTGCTAAAATGGTACTCTCATCTCTCTAGTAACTTCCTGAGGTCCAATACCATTTTTTTCAATCATCCCATTTTAAAATGCATATTTCTTATTAGAAAAACATGGCAAATATATTATATTTTCAGGTAAAATTGGCTTTGTTTTAGTAATCATTTTAAAAGAAGCAAAAGCTAAAATTTTATTCACTTCTACACAATCAGGAAATGCGAAAGAAAACAGTTACACAGATAACCACTAATATTTGTTTTTCATGGGCAGATCTGGTGTGGAGATGTGCACAAAGGTTTTTCTAAATGCTCACTCCTATTTCCAAAATCATAATGTATCTTGAATCCTACTAGTAATTTTAAAAATCCCATTCATCTTAATTCCCACTTTTCTGGGTCTCCTCTTTAAAACTGATCTTTTATTGTCCTCCTTTCACCTTAAATTTATGCATTCTCTCAGGATTTATTGTCCAAAATGACTTATCTTTATTTCTCAGGAAACATCTACTTTTATGCATCTCAGCATGTGTTTATACAATAATCATTTGTTTTAACTTGCTTATACTGTATTTTTACAAAGATGCCACCTAGTGGCTTTATGAAATTGAGCATTTCAAAGTACTTCCCTTGTTACTAAGCACCTTACACAGATTTCTAATTTAGTCCTTACAAAGATTTTATTAAAGTAATAAATTTTACTAACAAGAAAACCAAGACAAAGGTTAAATTTTTAAAATAAAACAAGATTAAACAGGTAAGGTTAAAATGTATCATGATATAAATGGATATTAGAAAAAAAGTATTTGAGTAATTATTTAGAAAACTAAGGACAGAAAAGTATGCTTTGGAAATTATCTATGTGGATTAAATTTGGATCTTGTTTGTGAGCTGGCTAACATACGTACAGATCCATAGTAACTTTTCTGATACTGTTTCAATTGGTCCAATGTGTTTGATAGTCAAATTTTTTTAGTTTTAAAAGGGCATATGCTTTAGATTATGCAACAATTCATGAGTTTAGTAATAGAGCCCAGAATCAAACACATTAATACTTCTGTGGCAAAATATTCATATTACAGTGGCATAAAGGCCATAAATATTTTTGCATCAATTAAAATCTGTATTCCAAATGAGTTATGAAAAACTTTCCATTTTCAGAGATTTTTGAAATTCAGATAAGAAATTGTAGACCTGCTTTATCTTGAAGAAAAAGAATTTACCACAGCCGGGGATTTAGCTCAGTGGTTTTGTCGTCTGCTGCACAAGTGCAAGGGCCCTAGTTCAATCCCCGGTACCAAAAAAAACAAAAAGAAAAAGAAAAAAAATAGCCAAGAAAAGGAATTTACCCTCCAGTTAAAGAAAGTAAAATGCAATATTCTGTAATAGATAGTTAATACTAATCTTTATGAAAACTAATGGGGGATGAATATAATCAAAATATATTATAATATAATCAAAATATAGTATACACATTGAAATTCACCAAAATGTTAAACCAGGAGGAAAGGTGGGACAAGGGAGGCTCCTGGGGAAATGATTAAAGTCTGTTGTGTGCATGTACAAATCTTCCAAAAAGAAACCCATTAATGTGCTTAACCAATATGCAGTAATGAAAACATGTAGAAAAAAAGCTAAAAGGTTTACCTAAAAAGGAATTTTAAAATCATGAGACATAAAAAAATCATAAAAAAGCTTTTCCTTTGCTCATATGTAGCAGCTCATCTATCACAAATTACATTTAAGTGCACCACATAAAGTTATCTATCATGAACTTAAAGATCGCTTTGAAAATTGTTAGCAATGCATAGCAAACTCAACTATGAAATATTCAAAACTACCTTTAATGATTTTGTATGTGGTCTGTTTCTGTGTGTGAATTTGTCTTTTTTCCATCCCTACCATGTTCGTGGAAATGAGTTGATCCCATGCATTCTGGATCCATTGTATGATTCTTCTGAGCACTCTTTAGCAACTCTCCTTAGGCATGTAGTATGTATGAGAAACAAACTTGTATTTAAAACACAGGGATTTAGGAGTAACCTATGCTAAGTCACTTTTATTCTTATTGCTTTTCTTCATTATCTAGAGCTTTGGCTTATTACCACTAAACAGAATTCCAAATACCTTTCTACAGCCTCCATCAATATTCAAATCTCATCATATTAAATCTGTAATCTAGAATCTCATACAATGATGACTTTTATTGGGGAAAAAGTGACTTATCAGTAAATGCAAAAGAGAAAGAGAAAGAGACTTATTATATGTCCACCAATATGGTACATAACCCTAAACCCCAGGGTGTTAGGTTTTGTTTAAATGATGGAAGCTGGGAGACAAAAGAAAAAGCTGACATTAGGTTATATATAAAATTTTTCCTATATGTAGAAGTTTTCCAGTGTTTTCCTGACATTGTTGATTTTTCTCATTTAAAAGAGACACATTCATAGAAAGTGTTACCAGCTTAATTAGCCTCACTTTTCTGACTCCACTTAAGATTTGCAACAGGAAGATTGCAAGTTCAGGTTCTACCTGGACAACTCTATCTAAAAAAAAAATTAAAAGGGATGGGATGTGGTTCAGTGTGAAGGCCCTGGTTCAATCCTAGTACAGGGAGGGGGAAAAAAAGAAAATGAAAAAAGTAAAAAAAAAAAATAAGCTCCCTTTCTTCTACCCCAATTCTGAGAAAAAGGCAGGGTCCGGGGGGAATAAAAGGATACAGTGAACCTTGATGTCCAGTGTATCACATTCTATTCAGATGACAGACTAGTTGTCCAACTACTCATCTTACAGAAAGGATGGCAACCTTGAAAGCTGATCCTTATTCAATAGGGTTCAGGAAGTCACGGGGCATACCAAGCATCCTTACGAAGTTATTGAATAGTAAATTATATGGTTCCCCTAAGTAAAAGCCATTTCATCCCAAAGGAAAAAATTTGCAGAAATTGAAATACTCTGAAGTCAGTCCAGATGTGGGAGGGAGTATCAACTCTAACTTGTTTGCAAAGCTCACACTTCTTGAAAATCTGGAGTATGGTGACTAGCCAGAATGAAACCTATAGGGAACCTACAGCAAATTAAGCCATTCTGAAAATTACTCAAATTAGTATAGTAGAGACTTGGCAACATTGAAACTCCATGAACAGAAGAATCATCTGCAAAGGATGCTTGATCTGGAAGGAAAGTAACTGGGAAAAGATGTGGAGTAAAAACAATCAGGGGTGTGGTGGATTAATTAATGATCCACTTGAGTGGGAATGCCTAGCTGAGCTGAGTCAGTGGGGTTCTGGGCCTGGAAGACCACCTGAAGTCTATTGCTGGAATGGCATAAAAGAGCGAGAGTGGAAGATTACATGCTGTTTGTTTTCCAGGAGAAGCTTCGTTGTGGCTGGGCTGGTTTTCCAGATATAAACTCAGGTGTTCCTGTCCTCATATCCTCACTGTCACTGGGGATGGCTGATGTTCTATTTGGAGGAGCTCTGGTCTTCACCTTTGTCTTCAGTGTTGCTTCCTGGCTCCAGGGCAGATCCCTTAGCCTTCTGGCACAGATCCTTCAACCTGCAGGTGCAGACTTTCTAGATTCCACCACCTACCCTTGGGCCTTTCCAGTGCAGATCCTTGACAGACTTGCATGAGACACTGCTGGGCTATAGACCTCCAGCCAGACTCATGGAGGACACTGCCAAGGGATCCAGGCACTTGGCTGGATTCTTCAGGTTTCTAGCATGCAGACGTATCTCTTAACTTTTTTATTATAAGATAATCCTATAAATTTATGCGTCCTGTAATAAATATATTCCCTAGAAAACCCTTAACATAAGGCTTTGTGGGCAGTTAATAAATGCCAAAGAATGATGAACAAAATTACAACGTCTTTTAAAAAGTATCTACCCTGTAATCTTTAACCAATATGAAGATCTTTGCAAAAAATTAAATCCAGATTACTACTACTGTTCATATTTGTTCATTATAGGTATTTTAATAGAAAAGGTCAAAGAAGCAAAATCTGGGTTTATTGGGTACAATCCCTAGAGCACCAGCAGGAGTGAGAGCATCCCAAGTACATTAGTAAAGAATAACATTCTAGTTAGGAACAAGAACTCTAGAGCCAGACTGTCCAGTTTCAAAATTTAGCTCCACATCTTACTTGGATGTGCTACTAAATGTGCATCTCTTTGCCTCAGTTCCTCCAGCTTCCCACATTACACAGCTGCAAGGCAAAACTACTCAGGATGGATTGTGGTTTTCCTCATCAGAACAATGGAGATAATTTGCAGTATCTCACTCTTAGGCTTGTGGAACAGATCTAATGAGCAAGTTAAGTACTTAACAACAGTACCTAGGATTCATATTTAAATCTCATGAAACGTTTTACATATTAGCCATTATTCTATTTGCTATATTATTCTACAACCAGCAATTCTAACACAAACACCAATAAAGTCTTCTTTTAGCAATAAAGCCATAGTAGCATCGTTGGTGAAACATAAAATCTCCTCAAAAATCATGAGAGAAATGGGACTGAAAGTATGACAAAGGCACAGCAAGCCAATTTTGTTTTTTATGTACTCGGAAGATCTGGAAAAAATGGCTGGTTAGAAAACTGACTTGAAAGCATCCATGCACACATGCTTTAGGATCATATATTTTGACCTTTATAAATACACTGAAGTAAATGTCAGACTGAAAAAGAAAGTCATAAATCATAAATTCTACTTGTCTTAAAAAGTCGGAATAGGTCATCTTGAGAGGCCAACAACTTGCCTCAACTTCATGACTGAGTTCATTACCAGGGTTAGAATCACAGGAATGAGAACTCCGGGCCTCTGACTCCCCCCAACACATCTTCCACTTCCCTTCAAGAATGAGCTCTCTTGCTATGTGACTGCTAAGAAGTCAACCCATCTACTTAATATCTATTTTGCATTTACATTATAGCTCAGTGAGATGAGAAACACATTGGGAAAAAGAAAGAATACCATTTTCTTCTCATGATTGTTTGCCATAAGAGATAGACACATACACACATATACACATCCAAACACACATGTACACACAGTAAACAAATGTAAATAATCCAAACCTGGACTAAAATAAAATGACATTTATAGTGGACTTGACAGTCAGTATACAATTACATATTTAAGTTTTACTTTATATATCAGATCACAAAGAAGTTAACTATAATTTAAAACTTTAATATGAACTATTTGTCATTTTTCTCACAGTTGAACATATTTGTTCTTACTACCTCACTTAGTGACCAATAAGTTTGTTCAGATGAAAGTATCTTTTCTCTTTTTTCAGAATAAAGAAACACGCTGAAGATACTACTGAAGATATTTCATCTTTTGATTGTAGTTTCTATACGGATCTGTGGGAATTTCCTAATTAACTTTCACACCTTCCTTCAACCTTTCTGTTCAAAGAAATACTGACTTTGCAATAATCTGCGTGAATACTGTGCAAACTAAAACCTGATTCACAAGATCCTATTACCACAATCACTAAGTTTAAAAAGACTCTTAAATATCCTGTATCCTTTTTCTTGACTATAAGAAATGACAGACACATTTTTAATATAACAGAACATTTAATGACAGCAGTTTCCCATCAACCCGTCAGTCAGTAAACGACGATTATATTGGCCATTTCCACTGGTTGGCAGGAGGCTCTTCCACTAATGGCTCCCATGGTTTCCACCGGATCATCCTCCTTGCCAGACTTAATTCATTTTCAGCCTGTTAATAAAAATTTTTCAAAGATCATTTGACTGTTCAACAGGTATTTTATTGAAATTTAACTATTAGAGCTACTACTTTCATATTAATACTTCATCGGATATTGAATATTACATAATTTAGTTACCTTAATTTTCACAGGTACACAATCATGAGTGAGGATATCTTTTGTTTTCTCCTATTTGAGGAAGTTTGCTGTAACTTCTAGTTTAGCTGGTGAGTTTTCAATCTTAATTGTGTTTCACAAGAAATTTCAAGATCAGAAGTATGTCTTTTCATCTGTATCAGTGGCTTTCAAACTTTATTTTTACCATGGCTCATAGTAAAAAAAAATACAGTAATCCCCCTTATCCATGGAGATACATTCTGAGACCACCAGTGACTACTGAAACCATATGTAATACTGAACCCTATAATGCTTTTCACATATACACTCAACTTTGATAAAGTTTAACTTATAAATCAGGCATACAGTAAGTCAGGGACTTAAAAACATTTGAGCTGCTAACTCACTGATACAAAGGGACCTTGCATTGTGAACATTCATAGATGGGAACAAATCCCGGAACTAGCTCACATGTCTGCTGGACACTAGCACAGTTGTGCTGCTGTGTGCTTACTGTACAGTGCGATAGTATACAATGGTACAGTGCTCACTCTGAGCCCAGGATGTCTGGAAGCAAAAGGAAAAGCAGTGGTGATGTGGAGGAGACTCCTCGGAAGCTCAAAACAATATACATTGAATATTTGTGTCAAAGGTGTGTAAGAGTCACTTTTTCAGACTTACTAACAAACCCAGCATTCTCTCAGATTGCAACTTGTGCGTAAGTCAAGGACTTACTGTTCTAAGAGACTGGAAACATAGCAACTAATAATAAAACAATTGCTGTATTAAACAAAATAAAGATCACTTGAACACAAGCCCTATGACATGACAGTTGATCTGATAATGGAGATAGCTAACTAGTGGGTGATAACTGTGTAAAGGGTGGATATAGGGAACAATGATTTCCACCCCTGGCAGGGTGGAGTGGAACAGTGTGTGATTTCATCAAAGTGCTCTGAACAGCATGCAGTTTTAAACTTATTTATTTCTAGGATTTTTCATGTAATATTTTTCAGACCAGGCTTGACCATAGGTAATTGATATCACAGAAAAACTTCTCCACTATTGGTGGGAGTGCAGATTGGTCTAACCACTGTGGAAATCAGTATGGAGATACCTCAAAGAACCAGGACTGGAAGTCCCATTTGACCCAGCTACTCCCCCACTGGGTATGTTCCCCAAAGAATTAAAAGAATCATACCACAGTGATATATGTGCACCCATGTTCATAGCAGCACAGTTTGTAATAGCTGAAACTTGGAAACAGCCCAAGTCTCCATCAACTGGAGACTGGATAAAGAAAATGTAGTTTTTTTATAAAATGGAGTACTACTCAGCCATAAAAAATGAGAAATTAGAGACATTCATTGCTAAATGGATGGACATTGAGGCGATACTCTTAAGTGAAATAAATAGGACACACATGTGTAAACACCGAATAGTTTCTCTAGTGTGAGAAACTGAAAGTGTAAATAAGAACTAAAAGGTATAATACATAATGTGAAATAGGAAGAAAAGGGGCAAAGGGGAAGGGGAAGAGGGAGGGGTAGGGGGAAAGGAAAGAAGGGAATGGAATTAATATGCGAAAATGAAAAAAAGGAAACAAAGTCTTTATAAATAGGGAGGGATGGAGGGATTGAAGGGAGGGCAGGGGAAGGGGGAAAAAATAAGAACCAGGAGAGTATGTAAAGGTGCATATCTCCAATGATGAATGTCATTATATTGCACACCTAAAATGTACCAATAAAAGGATATACAAAAAAAAATGTTAAATAAGAGGGGATTGCTACATCTTTTACTATAGGATCCACAATACACACATATAACTAAAATAAAACTAAAATTAACATTTTTAAGAAGATACAGTAGAAAATATCACAGTAAAAATCATCTTTACTGTGATATTTTCTACTGTATCTTCTTAAAAAATTTTAATCACAATCCACTTATTTCATGACCTATAGTCATTTGAGACTTAAACTTAAAAGTTTGGAAAACAGTGATCTATAGAAAGCAGGGGAACACAACAGGTGCACAGTAAATATTTATTGACTAAACTGATTCCTTTTTCTATATTATTCTATATTTTTATTTAACTTGACACATAAAAATCATACATGTGTATGTTGTATCGTGTGACGTTTCAATAGAGATGTCCAGTGTATAATGTTCAGTAAGGGTAACCAAGCCTATCTATCTCCTCAAACATTTACCGTTTCTTTGTTCTGAAAACATACAGAATCTTATTTATTGGCTTTTATTTTTCAATGGAAACTACATTATCATTATCTATACTAATCCTACTGTGCAACAAAACACAATAACTTTTTTTTTTTTCAGACAGGATCTCACTATGCAGTTCAAGCTGGCCCTGAACTCACCATGTAGTTCACGTTGGCATTCAACTCATAGCGATCCTCCTGCCTCAGCTCTCCCAAGAGCTGGGATTACAGGAATGCACCACTATGCCCAGCCAAAACACAATAACTTAATTGTCCTATCTAACTATAAAAGTAGAACCCACTGACCAATCTTTCTGCATCCCTCTCATCCTCCTACTCTCCAATGTTCATGTTAATGTAAACTAGTATAGAGCCTAACTGAAAGCAGCAAAGAAATTTATTTAAAAAATTAAAAATAGAAGTACCACGTAATTCAGCAGTCCCACTACTGTGCATACATTCAATGGAAATGAAAACTACTACGGTGAAGAGACATCAGTATTTATACACACAATGAATACTATTTGGACAAAAAAAAAAGAACTCCTGCCCTTTGTGGCAACATGGAGATCATTATGTTAAGTGAGGTAAGCCAGGCAAAGAAAGCAAATATAACATGATATTACTCAAATGTGACATCTAAAAAAGTCAATCCCATATTAGTTGAGAACAGAACAGTGGTTACCAGAGTTTGGGGTGAAATAATTCCTTAATCAGACAATGCTTCATTTAATTTTTACTTTCAAACATAACTTATGATATACCTAACAAAAACATTTAGATATTTTAGTATTTCACATTTTTCCTACAACTGAGGCCAAATTACAAGATGAACATTACTAAAAAAGTTGTCATAATGTCAAGAAAAGAAACTCAAATACACAGTAAGTGCTTATCAGAGGCTACTGTTCTTCTTCAGTTAAAAGGTAAAGGCTCATTTGTGCCAAGGTCCAAAAGCCAATCTAGCAGCCAAAATACAAGTGATGAGTTAAAGATGACACTAGTAGGTATCTGGGGATAGAGATAATTACTAATGCTGAAATGAGAACATCATTCAAATACTGCTAAGATACTCGTAAGAGTGACTATTTCCCTGACTGACTTTCACCCCATGGTGCCTTCCACATCTATGCTTTCTCTACCCCTCAAGGCAGTGCAGAGGGCAGGGTTGTGGAAGGCACGTAGCCCTGAACATTACTGAAAGATCACCCCTGCAAAGACCTTGATGCAGCTGCATTTATCCCGTTGCCTACTTCCTCTTGACTTCTAGAGGATACACTATTCTTTTCTCATTCCACTCATACCATCCCTCTAAAAATGGGCTGTCCAATATGCTAGCCAGTACCCACAAGTGCCACTAAGCACTAGAAAGGTAACTAGTCCAAATTCAGATATGTCATGAGTGTCAAACACATACCAGATTGTGAAGACTTAGAATGAAAAAAGATGTTAACTATCTCGTTGGTTTTATAACAACTACATGTTTAAATGATAGTTTAGATATACTGGGCTAAGTATTATTAAAATCAATTTAAATAATACTACCCATATGAAAATGTGAAGTGCATAGTTGACTGAAAAACACTTGAACTGCCTAAAATATAATTACATAATGAATTAATGTATTCACAAAATTCTCCATCAGTGTAGAGAGAGGACAATAGTAAGAGGTACAGAAGAGAAGACAACAGTTAAAGAGGTGTGCAGCAAGTTCCCTTAACACTGTTTCTACGATCCCAGCCAATCTGACAAGCCAATAGAACTACCAAGAAAACAGGCCTGAAATAATCGCCTGCATTCATAGAAAACAGGCTGAATCTTTATCTTCTTTTTTCCAGAGTCATCAAACAATCCTTTTTAATTGATCTATCCTGTTTGCTAATAGTATACCTCCTTCATCTCCAATCTTACCCAACATTTCCTTTTATTTGTCCTTTGATAAAAGGCAAGAAAACTTAAGAAGGTTTTACATTTACACAAAAAATGTAAAAATTAAATGAAACAACTGAATATTCAACAGATCATTATATGGAAAAGATATTCTAAACCGTTTATTAAGAGGTGGGAGAAAACAAAATTTAAACAAATAAAAGGTTTAAAAACCTCTACATATGGGAGAAAAATTCAACTGAAACTAAAAGTCTGTGCCGACAATATGGGAAAAGTCTAAAGCTAATACCTTTTATTTAAAAAGCATTCAATGAAATATATTTTTAAAACACTAGGACCAAATAATATAGCAAGAACATTAATAACATAATGTATAAGACATGAAATATAGGACCATATTTTACAAATACAACCTTATTAGTAACTGAGGGGAAATGGACCATTTTAAAAAACAAACAAAAAAGGCATCAATTCCCCTGAATAAACTAAAACAAAATTCTTTCCAGCATAGATATATTAAAACTGGTATTTTGGTACCGGGAATCGAATTCAGGGCCTCACGCTTGCCGGTCAGGCGCTGTTGCCACTGAGCAACATCCCCAGCAAAACTGGTATTTTGAAATACTGCTATGGCACTAGAAGTTATTCCTTTTAGAAAATAATTAGGTATTATAGTCCAAGAACTTAACTCACATTATATAAGAGATGCTACTAGTAATTTTACTTGATGGTAATAATCCTACTAACTAAAAATAGAAACAGCCATTTATACAACTATACTAACTATAAGTCATTCTTGATAACTAAAATAGAAACAGCTTTTACACAACCATATTACTGTAAGCTATTCATGATAGAAAAAGGCTTTTCTGTTTTTAAAACCTTTTCTCTAATGTTGCTAAAATACTTCTACTAAAAAACTGCTTAAAAGTTAAGCATTTGACTGAATTATTTTCTAAGCTGTCAGCTATGTCTAATTGAAAAAAAGGGGTAATCTCGCCCAGTATATTCAGCTTTTAAATTATGTAAGGCCGATAAGAGTAAGAAATTATTCTGATAAAAAGAATTTACTCAATACTAGCTTTAGCTCATACCTTGGGACAGAATAAGCCCAGTCTAATTTTAACTCTATCTAAATTTAAAGTATTGTATTATCATGACTAATTTAAACCATTACTAAGAAGATAAATTCACATCCTCAGTGCAAAATACTTCATTTTCACCAAATAAACAAATGATTTAAGAAAACGCAACTATCAAATACACAAAACAGTATTTTTCTATTTATTTCTGTAGCCTATTTACTTCTGTAACCTATCTATGAATCTATGAATGAATAAATTCAGATTAAACAAAATTAAACTAAGGTTTTTTTTCTTGCATAAGTAGTGGCTACAGTGAGAGGGACAATAAGAAGATATGAAACAAAAAATATTCTAAATATAGTAATGATAATTTGTCTAATATTTCTAATATTCATAATTATGCTTATATTTTAACATTCATGTCATTTGTCAGGATTAGTAATGGGATGCTGTAAGATGAAGCTCTGTAAAATATTGCACAATTAAAAATTGTTTTTAACTTACCAAATAATCTAAAGCCCCCCCCCCCTTTGTACAGGGGCTCCCTACCACTAAGCTACATTGTCATCTATTTTTTTTTACTATTATTTTTAGACAGGGTCCCACTAAGTTGCCCAGACATAGTGAGACTCAAACTTACTTGGATCCTCCTGCCTCAGCCTCCCCAAATCCTGGGATTATAGGCTTGCTCCAAATTTAAAATAAATAAATGCATCTAAAAAGGTAACATTACTAAAATAATAGTAACAATGTGCAACAAATCTAAGTTAAGGCTACCAAAGACATGCTATTAAATGGAAAGAGAGCATTAAACTCCAATCTTCTTTTTAAAAAAAGCTTCACCAAATTCAAGTTACAATCAATGACACTTACTTTGGTATTCACATGTTATATTTAATCAGCCAATACAAAAATAAATTTAGTTTTCCTTTCTTCTTGTAATATCAGTTTTGTCCCTGTTCATATAAAATGAACATATGAAGTCAAACATCTAAATGTTGAATTTTTCCTTTACCTGAAGAATCACCTCCTCTATTTGGCCAAGCTGAAGTCGGTCTTCTAATTTTTTAACATCTGATTCCTGTAATTTCAGGAAAAGAAAAAGATTAAACATAGGAGCACAATATCTGAATGTTTCAATATCTTTTATTTTAAAAACTCAAATATAAAGCGCAGTTCTAATATAATTTTTCTAGCACCAGACTCTAAGTTTTCTCCAAACATATAGTAAAACCATCTCATCTTTCTGCTGTTTTATTATTTTTCTGTCTGAATAATGAAAGCACTACATACTTATCGACATGCTTATCAAAAGACACAAAATATCTAATTCACTCTTCCTAAAATACATTTTAAAAATTACACTGCTTTTCTTAGTGTGTTCCATATTTCCTGAGAATTAACATTAAAAATAAGTACTATTCTATGATATAGAAATTCCTCTTCTGAATATATACTAAATAAAAATGAATACATAAACAAATGACATGATCAAAGAAGTCCACAGTAGCACAAACCAGAAAGAAATGGATCCAAAACTAGAAAACTAGAAAACTAGAAGTGGCTCCAAACTAGAAAGAAATGAAATTAATACAATGGATTGATAAATAATGGTATTTGGATATAATAGAATACTATACGGCAATGAGAATGAATAAACTATATACACAGCACAGATGATTCTCTCAAGTATAATATTAAGTGGAAAGAAATTAGACACAAGAGTGCATAATGATTCTATCCCATTTATATAAAGTTCAAAAACAGGCAAAATAATGTCACATTAGAGACTAGAATAGCAGTTATGGTTAGAAGCTGTTATGGCTTCTATCTAGATTTCCCCCCGATGTCTCATGCAGTCTCATATGGACCTTTTGGGGGTGGCTGGATCTAAGGTGTGTGATGCTGGGACTAATTCATGGTGCAATGCTAGGATTAAGGCTGCCCCGCCCTGGATAGAATATAAGGGGCAGAAAGAGGGCTGCTGTCCTCCTATGTTGCTTCTACTGCTGTCCTTGCTTGCTGCTTGCTGCCTTCTGCCTGCCCTGCTTTGCCCTGGACTGTTTTTCCTCCTTGATGCTCCTCTGCCATGCCACCCTGCCTTGGAGCCAGCCAACTATGGACTGAAACCTCTTCCAAGCTGTGAAATAAATCTTTCCTTCCCTAACTTTGGGTGTTGAGTATTTTGTCTCAACAACAAGAAAACTAAGACAGAAGCACAGTAACTTGGGGGGAAACAAGGGAGGGTTCTGGTATTCTCAAAGTGTCCTATTTTGTCTGGTATTGAGTTTGATCACTTTGTGAAAACTCATCAAGCTCTATACTTATGATTTCTGTATATTTTTATCTACATTATAATTTCATAAAATACGTTTAAATGCTAATAAATATACTATCTAGAACATTCAATAACATGTATTTATTTTCCAGTATACTGAGCTTTTTGAGATCTAGGAACCATGCCCTATCCATACCATACATATACACACATATGTTAAAAAGAATTGATCATTATCAGGATGATTTTTATGTTCCATTACTAGAATAAAAAGAAAAAAACAAGAATTTTTTTGTTTTTTCATTACATGAATCGGCATGTTCCTGCCTTACAGAATCTGCAGAACAGCCCAAAACAGTGATGACAAACCCTTCAGAGCTTTCAATGACACAAATAGCACACTGCAGCATGTCATAGGTCTGCCACCACTGGCCTAGGACATTGGCATGGCTTATTCCTTCAGTGTCTTTCAAATCTTTGCTCAACTATCACCTTCTTAATGAGGATCACTCATAATTTATGCTGTAGTAGGCTGAATAATGTCCCACAAAACATGTAAATATTAATCCCTGGGGCTTGCGAATGTTGTCTTATATGGCAAAGACTGTGTGGGTCTGATTAAAGACCTTGTGATGGGGAGATTTTCCTTGGATTGCTCTTGTGGGCAACCATAAGTGTTCTTATAAAAGACAGCAGAGGAAAATTACACACAGGGAAAAAAAAAAAGTAATCAACCGTGTAGGCAGAAATTGGAACAATGCAAGCACAAATCAAGGAACACCAAAAATCACCAGAAGCTAGAAGAGACAAGGAACAAATTCTAAACCAGAGACAGAGAACACAGCCTTAACAACATGAATGGGCCCCTAATACCAATTTCTGACTTTTGGCCTCCAGAAGTAAAAGACAGTAAATTTCTATTATTTTAAGTCACAAAGTTATGGTAATTATTATACAGCAGCAATAAAAAACTAACACATATTATAATATCCTTCATCCCTATCATTACACAAGTCATTATTCCTTGCTTTATTCTTCTTCACTCGGCTTGTTGTCTAATACATTATGCACTTAATATTTACTTTTTGACATTTATTTTTTGCCTCCCATCATGAACATGCCACTTCCATGAGACGTTTTATGTGTTTTGTTCACTGTCATGTGGGAACAAGCTTCCATGCCTAGAGGTATACATGGCATTTAAATCATTCAGTAAATGTTTCTTGGTTAAATAAATTTTAAAATAATTGAAAAGGAAGAAGGAAAAAAAGAAAATAAATAAGTCTTTCTTTTCAGAATGACTATTTAGCACAGAATTAATTCAGCTATAAAGCCTAAAATTAAAAACCAAACAAAGAAGCTGGTCATTGTTATGAGATCTGGAGGAGTAAAGATGAAGCAAGGAAATTTCAACAATATTTTCAACTTGGGAAAGACCTGTGTTCAGAAAAATAATCCATAATTTCTCTGAGAATGAATCAATAGTATAATTTTTCTTTACAATCACATAATGTCACAAAGGTTAATAATGTACTTCATAATACACTGTCTACTACATCTGTGAGACTAAGTTAAACTGCTTACATAAATTACTTCATTCTAATAATACGTGTTCGAGGTACGTATTACAGCCAAGTTACAGATAAAGAAATTGAGACCAAGAAAATGAGCAATATGCCAACTTATTCAGCAAATATTAGAGCTGAGATGAAAATCTTGGACAGGATACAAACCAATGTTTTTCACCAATATGTTACTCTATCTTCCCATTAATAATATGAAAAAAATAAGTTTACTTTCATTTCCATCTTAGGCTTAGTAAATATGTAGATGCCTTACAATCATAATAATATTCACTGAAGATTATATACTAGATTAAAAAAATCATTGATAATTTTATCAAAAACAGGAATTAGAGATACAACTATTTTTTTTTTTTGGTACCAGGGATCGAACTTGGGACCTTGCACTTGCAAGGCAGGCAGCAGAACCACTGAGTTAAATCCCTGGCCCAGAGATACAACTGTTTTGAAGTGTCTGAAGTTGTTATAACCAATTTGTATTTAGTCTTTTAGATGAATAAATATTTCTCAGGGACTTCATGTGCCAGGAACTATGCTAGACTCTTAGGATATAAGGTTGAATCCAGTATCATTCACACGTAGCTTAAAACTAGAAGAAGAGGCAGGAATAAAGTACAATGTGACAGATAAAACTCCATTCAGGAGGTAAGAAAAAGCTTCCCAGAGGAAGTGAAGACTTGACACCTGAGTAAGACCTTCGTGTTAGTCCATCTGTGCTGCTTTAACAAAATACCTAACAGTGGGTAATTTATAAAGAAAATTTATTTTCTCATAGTTTTGGAAACAGGGAAATCTAAAATCAAGGCACTGGTAAATTTGGTTGTCTAGTGAGGACTGCATCCTCAGGAGGGGAGGAACACTACTGTATCCTAATACGGTCGCAATCAAGGGGAAAGAGGAACCAAATTTTGCATGAAGCCTCTTTTATTTATAAGAGCTTTAAGCTCATTCAAGATGGAGAAGCCCTCATGGCCCACTCAACTCTTAAGACTACCACAATGGCCACTAAATTTCAACCTCTGAATTTGGAAGAGGACATATTCAAAACATAGTAAATTGTCAGATAGATAAGATACAAGGGGCATTCCAGGAAGAGAGAAAGTACAACACAATAATAAAACTCCACTGAATCTACAGAATTGCCAGCAGCTTTATATTCCTGAAGTAGAGAGTACAATAGGAAATGACAGGTCAGGATAACAAAGATAACTAAGAGCCAGACCTTATGTACCATGCTAAAAACCTTATCAGGTTACAATCATGGTTCCTCAACATGGCTGGTTCTAGATTAAAATCATGTAAAAGTAAGTTTCATACAACAAGCTCAGCACAAGTCTTTAAACTCACCCTCTGGGAAACACTAAAGGAAAACTAAGATTTTAAGAAAGAAAGTAACATAAGATTTATTTATTAAACAAACCACTATTAATGTTAGTGTGGGACATATAATTATGATGGGACTACAAATAGGTCAATTAATTAGAAGACAACTGAAACACCAAAGAAAACAATTTAGGAGCTAATTAAGTGTAGACATATTAACGGTGAACTATTCTTCGTTTACCTTGGCTATGAAAAAATACAAAGGAATATGGCAATAAGTAAATAAAAATATAGACATAGTTTTTTCTTCTAAGATGAGAACAAGCTAAATACATCTTGAGGCTACTGAAGATGATAAAATGGGAAAGGCTAAAAAAGTAGCATAGAGAATAAATGATTAAAAGTCAACCAAGTTATTGGGAAGGAAAACAGAAAGAAAGGCAGAGTTGAACAGATTCACCTCGTGAAAACAAAAAGGAAAATTTATTCTGAGATGAAAAAAATGTGTAAGTTGTTTCCTCAAGGAAGACATGAAAATGAAAGAAATGTGAACTTCTTTACAGACTTTAATCTGTAATTTACTTCCATAATTACCAAGATAAATGTTCCAAATCAAACTGCACTCTTCTGCTGACTAAGGAGAATGTAAGAATTCTCTCTAAAAAGGAGATAATCTAATAATACAATTAAGATCCCTTGTGCTTATATGAAATACTTCTAGAGTCCATAAACACTATTTTTGATAATTAAATAAAGTCCATAAATTTTAGTGTGAAAATGTAACAACAGTGCAATATAGTTTAGTATGAAAAAAATCAGAAGTAGTTTACTGTATTCCTGTCTAGTACCTTTGATTCAAAAACTCTTAAAATGCTTATATTAGTTTGCATGGCTGTAACAGCAAAACACTGTAGACTGGGTGGCTTAAAGAACAGAAATTTATTTTCTTACAGGTCTGGAGACTGAAGTCCATGATCAAAGTGACAACTGGCTGGTTTCTGGTGAGGGGTCTTTCCCTTACGTTGCAGACACCTATCTTCTTGCTGTATGCTCATAGGGCCTTTCCTTGTTATGTGTTCGTGGAGAAAGAGAGTGAGCACGACCTGTCTGGTGTCTCCTTGTGCAAGGACACCAATCCTACAGGACCAGGGCCCAACACTTATAACTTCATTAACCTTAATTACTTCCTTATAGGCACCATTTTTATTTATTTCTTTTTATTTATTTATTTATTTTTTGGTACTGGGGATTGATCTTGGGTCCTTGAGCTTGCGCAGCAGGCGGCAAAACCACTGAGCTAAATCCCCGGCCCTAGGAACCATTTTCAAATAAAGCCGTACTGTGGGTTATGGCTTCAACACATGAATTCGTAGGGGAAACATACATTTACTCTCAATATAACAATGCCTGATATAATTTTTGGTAATTTACAGAGAAATTATTTTGGTCTTCTTTATGAAGAAAGTGCTCTTTAAAAGAATTTTTTGATAGTTTTATTTAAAAACAACAAATGAGAAACCCAAAATATAAATAAAGAACAAAACAAAAGACAGATAATAGGAAGTAGGGAGATAGATCTTTCTCAAATGGGAAGAGGATCAAGAAATGGGGGCAGTGAGGAGGGAAGGGCGGGGAATGGGATGAAAAAAGAATTAAGATGTGTTATGTACATGCAGCAACTCCCCACAAGGAATATAATCATTATGTACTGGAAACATGTAGTAAGAAAAACTGAAACACCACACATTTTGTTTTATTTTGATTCTTCTCTACACTGATTAGAGAAAAAGAGATCAAGACTGATTATCAGCTGGGTGTGGTAGCACAAGATTATCACCCTAGCCACTGAGGAGGGCTGTAAGGTCAAGACCATCCTGGGCTACATGGTGAGACCCTCATCTCAAAAAACCAAATCAAGGGACCAGGGATTTAGCTCAGAGGTGCTGACACCTGCCTCCAAAGTGAAAGCTCAAAGTCCTAAGTTGGATCTCTGGTACTAAAAAAAAACCCAAAAAACAAAAAATAGGTCTTATCCACTATAGATAGCAAGCAAAAGATAATAAAGAACTAGACAGGGAAGAGAGGTAAAAGGTACATCTACAATGTTCCTCTGGAAAGAACTTACACTACAGCATTTAAAGTGCTTTGCATACAGAAAGCACTCAGTAAACAGGAGTTTGCTAAATGAGAAGGATAAAAGATGGAAGAAAAGCACTGAAGTAAGAAAATGTGCAAAATATGCAAAAGTAAGCAACTAAGTTTTTGTTGTTGCTAAATGTTACACTGGCTATGTAAGTCCAAGGAAACCAAATTGATTTAGTTACTTACCGCGTTCACCACAGCCAGCCTCTCACTTACAATCTGTTCTGTGTATTTTCTATATGCAGCATTTTTAGGGATTCGACCAAGAACATCAAGAATCTTTGTGTACAATACTTTTAGCCTCTGAAAAGACAAACCATACAAATTTCCACAGACAATATCACCACAGACAAAAAAATAAAAAGTGATTCACACGATTTAAAATATTTAACTCTTCTCTCGCACTTTCTTCATATCTATACCTTATCCTTGCACTTTACATCTTAGAAAAAATTTGAATATACGCAGAAACTTTTTGCAGGTTATATAACAAAAGTTGTGTAGGTCAAAGGTATAATAATAAGCAGAAATAAAATTAACTTACTGATAATGACCCTTCTCAATCAAATCATTTAGTAAATCAGAATTTCTTAAATCGTGGCCCTAGACATTGTAAATTCTTTTAATTTTAATTTTTAATTTTAGTTTTTTTGGCTTAAAATTCTGTAGATTTTTTTAAAGTATATGTAAACTTTAGATCATCAGCAAGATAAAATTTAACTGAATAGTTACATAATTCAGTGCTTTTGCTTGCGATTATAACTGTATTGGTCCCATATGAATAAAAGTTTTACCCGAGGCTCAACAAAAAAAGAAGCATGAGAATGAGAATTTAAAAAGTACTGACCAAGAGACTTAATTTGTCTTGTTCCCTTTCTAATTCTGCAACAAGTACATTGGGATATACCTGTGAGAGCCTTGTGCAGTCCACCTCATGTGCTGTTTCATTATTTATGTTCTATAACAAACACAGCCATCACAATTACCATCTGTGTTCACTGCAGTTGGTATGCACAGGCACAAAGAAGAAAGTACAACACAGATAATTCTAACTCTCTAAAACTCACTAGTAACATCATAACATTCTTTTCTAAATATTTTTAAGACAATTCTATTCTTCATTCTTATTTTCTCCAATTTATATATGCATGCATAATAGTTTTCAATATAGCTTTTTAATAAAGTTTTAATCCAATTTAAAATTTGGTTTGAAATTTTATTTTCATCTTTTCTGATAAAAACATATCTGTTCCCGGAGAACACAGATGAGAACCAGGAAGATTAATATAGTAAAAGAAAGGTGTCATGAATAATCTGGACATCTAATTTGTCATCTGAATTGGGGCACTAGTGGCCTTATAGGAAACACTATTAATCTTTATGCCAAACATAAGTGTGAACCAGAATAGTCCATTCAAATAAGACACATGGTCCCTCTACATGTATTTCACTAACTACAAGTATATGAACACTTTTCATAAAGAACATTTCTTTTTTTTTTCAATAAGAAATTTTCCTCAGTGCTGCCATGTATATGTCATGTATGTACATTATGTGCTGTTTGGATATAAAGGCAGATGGGCATGGATTCCATGTATATTTAAGGTACTGTTGGGTAAGAAACAGAAGAGGAAAATGGTAAACATCAAAATCTGAAAAATAAGTATATATGGGGTGAGGTAAGGAAAGAGAGCAGGAAGACATTACTAAGTAAGTGTGCTAACTAGAATCTGACTGCCTAGATTAACACTGGCTCCACTGTTAGATGCACTGGACAAGTTACTTCCATCTAGATGCCTTCATTCCTCATCTGTAAAATGTGAATATCTGCCTCATCAGTGCTTTATCGCTTAGAACAGTCCCTGGCATATATTAAGTCTCAATAAATATCAGCATTATTACTCTATAAAGGAAAAAGAAATCACTTCAACAGATATCAGAGAAAGGTTCATAGCAAAGGTAGCAGAGATAGATCTAACACAGTGGTGGTAAACCTATGGCATGTGTGCCATAGTGGGCTGTTTGTTATCATAGAAAGCTCTAAAAGGTTTGTTATCACTGATCTAGAGGGGTGGCAGGACTCGGAAAGAAGATGGAAAAAGTAATTTCCACACAGAAAACACACGATTAAATGATAGAAAATACAGGGAAAGAAAGGAAGCAGTATACCATTCTATTTTCCTGAACTATGAGTTCTGAAACAGTAGCTGTGGGCCAAATATAGCTACTGAGCACCTGAAATGTGATTGGTCTGTACTAAGATACGTTGTACGTAAAAATATACACTCTGTGGTACAGCATTTCAAAAGTTCATTATGAATAAAAACTAAAATATATTTTCATGCCAATTATGTACTGAAATGGTAAGATGTCAGATCTGTCAGGTCAAATAACTTTTTTTCCTCTATTACAAAGTGAATTTTACAAAATTTAAAATTATGTTCAAACATGGCTTACATGTGTGGCTCAAATTTTTATTGGCTAGCACTTAGCTGGAGTATAGGACACTCAAGGAAATGCTTAGGAAACACAGTTAGAGAAACAGTCAAGATTGTAAGTGATTTTGCATTCCAAGTTAAGACATTTGGGCTTTATTGTATAGGCAATCAAAAGATTTGGAAAAATTGTATGATTAGATCCATGTTTCAGAAAAACTAAACTGGCAGTAATGAGTTAAAAGGAATGAAGATGAAATAAGGCAAAAAGGTGTAGTCAAAATCTAGATATATAGTATTTTGAAGGCAAAATCCAGAGGATTTTCTTTAGTAACAGATGTGAGGTGTTACAATGAGAAAGGAATCAAAGATGATTGTAAAGTTTTTTACTTGAGTTAACAAAAAATAGTTGTGATTCATTGAAGTGAACAAGATTGAGAGAAGAGCAGGCTTTAGGAAGATCAGGAATCCCATTCTGGACACATTAATTTGAGTTATCTGTGTGGCATTCAAGTGAAAACATTCACTAAGCAATAAAACATACACTTCTTTCATAAAAGGAAGGGCAGTACTTGATATAGAAACCTAAGAGTCATCAATGTATAAGTGATATTTAAAACCATTAGAGTGGGTCAACTCATCGAAGGTGCACGGTAATAAAGATTTTAAAATGAGAATATAAAGAACCAGAAAAGGAGAAGGCAAAAGATCAGGGGTAAAAACAGGAAAATGAGTCCTGACACCCAGTAAGGAAATGCTTAGGTGATATCAAAAGTGTCAAAATGCTACTGTTCATTAATTAAGATGCACTGACCATCGGATTCTGCAACATAAGGTTCATCGGTGACCTTGAAAAGAGCAATTTTAACCAAGCCTGAATGAAGAGCATTGAAGGGGTAATAAGACACTGGCGAGATAGTAAGTACTAATAACTCTTAAGAGTTATCTGTAAAAGAAGTAAAATGATATGTTTATTGTTTATTGAAGGGACAACAATTAAGGGATTTGAATTTGTTTTGTTTTTTGTGTGACAACACCTTAGGTAAATTCAAGAGCGTACATTCTATAGCACCTAAGCAGGGACTTGGCTCGGCCCAAGGATAGAAAATAGAGACTGATTCGGTAGGGCACACAGAAGTGTGAACATGCCAAGGACAAAGTCAACAAGAAAACAAGGGGCTGTGATTTGGGGCATGGAATACCATATCCCATTATCCTTGCCACAGACAAGATCGCAAGGGTTTAGACTTCCCTGGGAACTGAAGAAAGAAGGAGGAAAGAGTACATACCTCGTGTGGAGCCTCACGTACAGCCAATCCCACAAGGCCAGTGGTCTGTTAAAAAACAAAGCACGATTCATATAGTGTTTACTATGGATTCCAGGCGTGCACACACACATACACCCTTTAAGGAAAAGCAAAACCACGACTCCCCAGGCTAAACAGGTCTAAAGCCAGCTACAGTTCTCTCTTCGGGGCTTTTCTGCCTCTCACTGCAGAGACGCTAACGTAAGCCACCCCCAAGGGCAGTACTGAACAAGTCTGCCAAATGCACCGTTGTGCCCGCATCAGTCATGGCCACCACCCGCGATAAAGGGATTGTAGGGCTGACTCTCACGGTCTAAATTTCAACAGTGACCTCCATTCGTCTCACCTTCTTCAGCGCACCCGCCATAACAGCGACCAAGAGCGGAGAACAAGCAGCCCTGTGGGAACCTCAGACCCGCTCAATCGACCGTCGAGGCCGCCGCTCCGTCACCTTGGAGACGGATTGGCTCCACCCCTTCAGGATCGCCGGCAGGAGCGAAGGCTCAGTTCCGCGCATCCCAAAGGGAAAAATTGACGCCTGCGCAATGAGTACGCAAGGGTCTAAACTAGGTTTGGACACAACTGGGAGAGAGGTTTTGTGTCCCTACGCCTGCCCCTGCCACCAATGACGACTTCTTCAAAGGCCGAGGGAAATTCTACCGACTGCCAAAAAACTTCGACATAGTTTATCTATAGGAACGTGTATTCTGCTTATTTTTAAGGGAATTTTGTCTTTAGCTAATTTTGTCTTTCTTCCGCAGTTACTAAAATGACTTTTGTTGTGGGACTTGAGCATCATTATAAAATACTCTTATCTCCAAAGATTAATTCATATCACAAGAATATCAGTATGCTCGGTCTATGAAGCAAAGCAGCATGTAGTGCTCTTTTCCATTTCACTGCTCAAGTTCATCTGTTATCACGTCTTCCCAGTAAGTGACAGCAGACCATATCGCTTTTCCCCCACTGAACCTCCGCAAGAATTTATCGGGTACTCGTTATGTGGGACATGATTTATAACCGGATCTCACCTTCTAAAATTCACTGAATAATAATGAAAGCATATATTAATAATGCGTTTGCAAGTGTTCTAAAAGAGGTTTGCCCTAAGTGCCCTGGTAGCAGGGAAGAAGAAATAGCTAACCAAAAATTGCAGGTGACTGGCATTAAAAATGGGATTTTCTACATGTAAAAATGTTCAACATCACTGGTCATTCGAGAGATGCAAATGAAAACAACACTGAGATTCCACTTCACTCCAGAAAGAATGGCTGCTATCAGGAAATCCACCAATAACAAATGCTGGCGGGGCTGTGGGGAAAGAGGAACCCTGCTCCACTGCTGGTGGGAGTGTAGACTGGTGCAACAACTGTGGAAATCAGTATGGAGATACCTCAAAGAACTAGGACTGGAAGTTCCATTTGACCCCACTATTCCACTGCTGGGGATCTTCCCCAAAGAATTAAAAGAATCATACCACAGTAATATATGTGCGCCCATGTTCATAGCAGCACAGTTTGTAATAGCTAAAACTTGGAAACAGCCCAAATGCCCATCAACTGGAGACTGGATAAAGAAAATGTAGTTTTTTAATAAAATGGAGTACTACTCAGCCATAAAAAGTGAAAAATTAGAGACATTTATAGCTAAGTGGATGCACATTGAGGCAATACTCTTAAGTGAAATAAATAGGACACACACGTATAAATACCGAATAGTTTCTCTGGTGTGAGAAACTGAAAGTGTAAATAAGGACTAAATGTATAATAGGTAATGTGAAATAGGAAGAAAAGGGGCAAAGGGGAAGGAAGTGAGAGGGCTAGGGGAAAGGATAGAAGGGAATGGGATTAATATGAGAAAATGGAAAAATAGGAACAAAATCTTTGTAAATAGGGAGTACTGGAGGGGTTGAAGGGAGGGCTGGGCAAGGGTGAAAAATAAGAACCAAGAGAGACTATGTAAAGGTGCAAATTTCCAATGATGAATATCATTATATTGTATACCTAAAATGTACCAATGATTAGAATGAATAATAGATAATGCAAAATAGGAAGAAAAGGTCCAAAGGGGTAGGGGTAGTGGGAGGGGCAGGGGAAAGGAAAGAAGGGAAAGGGAAAATGATGAAAAATGGAAAAAATGGAAGTAAAGTCTTTGTAAATAGGGAAGGGTGGAAGGGGTGAAGGGAGGGCTAGGAATGGGGAAAAAATAAGAACCAAGATGCATCATGTAAAGGTACAATTCCCAATGAGAAATGTAATTGTGTTGTATACCTACAATGTACCAATAAAAGAATTTAATTAAAAAATGAGATTTTCAAAAGAGTGGGGGGAAAAGCATAGGTTGAGAGATCACATAAAGACAGTAGCTCCTCTGCATCATTGTGTGTTTATAAATACATACAATAGAAACTTATTTCTCTCAACATAGTAATTGATTGGTTAGGTTAAATTGTTTATAGTTACACTTATGACCGTGTATGCCATTTTGCATAATTTGAAATTTTAGTCTAAAAAATGGAAGCAATTAGATAATTTTAAGCATCTGAATGACACCATCATAGTTGTGTTTCAGATAGATAGCAATTTTGTTAAGAGATGGTAAAAATGATTTAGAAAAGATGGGCAAGATTAGAGGTGTAAAACTAGGAAAAGGAGAGAACATTAAACAACAATCAGAAGAAAAGAAATAATAAAGATTAGAGCAAAATAGAACAGAATGTCTTCAGAGAAAATGAGTGAAACCTGAAGTTTATTCTTCTCTGCAGACCTTTGGGGACGCCAGAGAACTCAGATTAATAACATCAAAATTTAAAAAGAATCATCCTTAAGAACCTTACAGAAATAAACAGGATCAAGAAGAAAAACTATGAATAATTATGCTAACAAACTTGTTTACATAGATAAAATGAATAAATTTCTGGAAAATGACAAACTAAATGGACTCAAGATCAAATTTCAAAATAAATAAAGAAAATAAATTTGCATTAAAAATGATTCATAAAGAAGATGGATATGAGGGCGATCTGGCTGTGACATCTTTCACTCCATTGATTGCCAAGAGTGGTTTGGCTGATCTGGCTGGCCAGGCAAGTGTCCCCTTCCTCCCTCACTGCCCCACGTGCATCCCTTTGAGGTGTGTCTAAGAAGAGGACCACTCCCACCACTCCTGATAGAGGAGGCCTGTTTCCTTGGTCAAGGGTATATGAGTAGCTGAGCTCCCCTGCTAGAAACTCCAAACAAGCTCTGAAGAAGAGCCTAGGCTAGGGTGAGGTTATAGCTCAGTGGAAGAGCACTTCCTGGCATGTGTGACAATGCCCTGGATTCAATGCCTAGCACACATACACACACAAAGATAGCTTTACTAGTAAATTCTATCAAACATTTAAAGAATACTCCTTCAGAAACTATTCTAAAAAATAGAAGAGATGGGAACATTTTGTAACTCATTGTATATGGCAAGGATTACTCTGATACTAAGCAGATAAAGAAATTACAAGAAATGAAAAATTTAGATAAATATCCCCTTATAAATAGGTGCAAAAATCATTAAAAACAAAATACCTGTAAACAAAATTCAGTAACATAAAAATGAATTGTGTTCTATGACCAAGTGAATTTATTGCAAAAATATGAACTTGGCTTCACATCCAAATATCAGTTAATATAATGTTCCATTTAATAGAATAAAAGATAAAAGCTATATGATGATTTCAATAGATGTAGAGAAAGCATTTGAAAAAAGTCCTATTTTGTGTGTGTGTGTGTCTGTACTCTCCCACAAACTAGGTATAGAAGAAAAATTCTCTGAATATCAATAAGAAGAAAACATGTCCACTCTTACCATTTCTATTCAATATTTTATGCAAAGTTTCAGGCAGAGCAATTAGTCAAGGACAAAGAATGGAAAAAAAGCATCCAGAATAGACACAAAAGAAGTAAAACTATCTCATCATAGATCTATGATATGGAAATATTATATACAGAAATATTAAGAAATACATACATAGACACAAACTTTTAAAGCAAATATATTAACCAAGATTGAATTATACCTGATCAACAAGGATCAGCTCAGGCTGCCAAAATGAATGTCATTATATTGTATACCTAAAATGTACCAATAATATTAATTTTTTAAAAATACTGTAGATGGGGCTGGGGATTTAGCTCGGTCGTTCTGGTGCCTGCCTCACAAGCACAAGGTCCTGAGTTCGATCCCCAGTACAAAAAAAAAATACTGTAGATGGGTGGCTTAAACAAGAAAAACCTATTTCTCACATTTCTTCAGTCTGGGAAGTCCAGATCAAGGCCAGAAAGGTAGATTTCATTCTGAGCCCTTTTCTCTCAGCATGTAGGTGGCTGAAATCACACCATATGTGCATATTAAGTATGTGTGTGCCTTCCTGCACTAGGGTAGGGATGGAGGGCAAAAAGCAAGAAAGGCACAAAAGGCCCTTCTTTCTTCTAAACCCAGTTCTTGATCAAAGCCCATCTGTGATAGCTCATTGTGATGTCAACCTGGATGGGTTAGGAAATGCCTAGGGCATTAATGGAGCACAGGTCTAGGCATGTCTGTGGGTGATTGACATGCAGACACAAACTGAGGAGGGAAGATCCATGGGGATGTAGGTAGCACCAATAGGCTTATTGGTAGCATGGAATAATAAGGGAAGAAGAAGGAAGTTTTCCCTTTTGCTTCTTTGGGGGAGCTCAAGTCTTCACCACCACCTTCGGACATTGGTATCTAGTTTCTTCAGGCTTCCAGCACAGACTCAGCTTTCCATCACAGTTTCTAACAGGGACTCACACCAGACTCAGCAGTGAGATCCAGGCCTTTGCCTTTCAGACCTTTGACTGGGTCCTCCGACTCTACAGGGAACAGACAGTCATTCTACATTCTTCCACTCCTGACCCTACAAGTGGCTATTGTAAGCCTACTTTGTAAATCCATTTATATGCTATATTTTATATATATATATTACATTATACAAATCATATTACTTTTGCGAACCCTAACTGATACACTATCTCATTGGGAGTTAGGGCTTCATTATATGAATTTTAGATGGGCATAACATAATCCATAGTACTTGTTATACAAACATCTATTCTAGCAATGAATAATTTGAAAGTGGAATTAAGGAAACAATTTCATTTACAATGGCATTGGGGAGAACAAATATGTAAGAATAAATTCTAACAAAAAGTGTAACATTTGTGCAGTGAAATCTTTAATACATTGTTTAAAACACTAAATTTCAAATAAACAAATATCCCATATTTGTGAATGTGAAGACAATATTCTAGGATAACAGCATTCCTCAAATTGAGTATATGTACACATACACCATAAATAGTCAAATATATATATATATATATATATATATATATATATCACAGATTTATTATAGACCACGGCTTATATCATTGTGGAGGCTAAGAAATGTCATGATCTGCTTTCTCCATGCTGGAGGCCCAGGAAAGCTATGGTACAATTTAGTGCAAG